GTCGGAAAGGGTGATAAAGTTCGAATCGGCGTCTGTCGGGAACCGCGTAGGTCGGAGAGAGGTTAAGAGGGAGAGGGGGAAGAAAGATTTTTTAAGTTTCCCTAGGATCCGTCACAATAGCCAACCATCCCAGGTATCAGTGTGTGAGAATCCCGAAGCAACGTCGAGCCGATTACATATCGCGCAGGCAGCAGGTTTAGTCAAGACCAGACGCAGTAGAAGGAGGTTATAGAGTTGGAGAGAAGCATTGAAGAGGTTCAAATAAGATTGCCATGGTGCGATGACTGAGCTCGAGAGTTGAGGATTCGGGGGATAATGGGAAGGAGATTGGCTCCTGTAGCTTTGGAAAAGGCGACGCGAACGTATGCGATGCGATACCCATTTTTACAATACCGAATTCGATGCCGTGCAGGCAGACTATTCCACGGTGTCAGTACAGGAGTAAAAGACACCCTGGCTGCCGTTAGAGGAGGTTCTGGAGAGTGTTTGCGATCGAAGGAGCTACTGTCGGTGCTCGACGAGTACGGAGTTGCGTTTTCTCTCAGTTATCCACCCGAAGTCGTTATTCACCGTTTTATATATAGCGTGCTAAGAGCGCTAAGATCTTCTCAACGAGGAAGCAATCAGCCCGAAGTGCTACCGAAATAGACTCCAGGGAATTCTGTCTCGGGAATGCTGATTAGGTGAGGACATGAATCCTGAGCTTTAGCTGTGTCCTGGGGGCTGAGGACGGGTTCGGGAGCCCATTCAAGTACCTCAATAGAAGATCTATTTTAGGACCCTTATAGAGATATTTAAGATATTAGGGACCTCTAGGTAGATTTATATCTAGTATCGATACGAAAATGCGACGGGCTCGACTTCTGGGGAAAGAACGCAGCATCGTAACGGAAAAAGCTCTCAAGTGTAAGGGTATAGTTAGTGTCCGACTTGAGGTGTAGTTCGTTTCTGCCAAGCACTAAGCGAACTTGCGGTTGTACGAACTTGCGCTTGAACTTGCGGCCCCGATCCATTCCCTATATATATATATCTGGGCATCCGCCGCTTCTTGTCGGCCGCTATGCTATATCATGTCCCCGCATCAGACACTACCCGTTCACCAAGAAGGCGAGTTCCAGGAGCTGCTGCTGCTGCGCCTCGTGCACCGACTTGACCCCGACGGCGGTGGCGGCCGCCGTCGGCCGGCCCGCGTACAGGATGCGCTGGTCCCGATGGGCGTCCGTCCGAGGAAACACGGTCTCGAAGCGATCGCGGACGTACTGCCAGGCGCCGCCGTTGCGCGGCTCTTCTTGCGCCCAGACGACCGACTCGGCGTGGGGGTATCGCGCGAGCGTGTCCCGGACGTCCGACCACGGGAAGGGGTGCAGTTCCTCGAGCCGCGTGATGGCCGCGTCCCGGATCCCCGCCCGGTCCCGGTGGGCGTGCAGAGCGGCGTAGACCTGGCCGGAGCAGAAGACGACGCGCCTGATCGATTCGGGCGCGTCGATCGACGTCCCGTGCGTCGGGTCCGGGAGGACGGGCAGGAAGCGAGACGCGCCGACGAGGTCGCTGACGGCGGAGACGGTCGACGCGTGCCGGAGCAGGGACTTGGAAAACAGGATTACCAGAGCTGTTCGAATCTGTACGTCAGCCATGTGATCACCCCCAAGAGGCCATGCACTGGTCGAGACGGGGATCTTGTTTTCGACTTGGCGAGAGGGCTGAGAGAGTAACACACTTACGCTTCCGATACGGCCGGTGCATCTGCCGGCGCAGAACGTGAAATAGGTTCGCAGGCGAGGTGATGTAGGTCACTTGCACATTGCAGTCTTGGTGCCGTCTCTGCACGTCCGCCGGCCAGCTCGTCCCGTCCTCGCTGGCGAGCTGCAGAAACCTCTCCAGCCGTGCGGACGAATGCTCGGGGCCCTGGCCGTCGTACCCGTGGGGCAGAAACAAGACCAAGCCGGACCGGTCCATCCACTTGACCTCACCTGTCGCGAGCAGGTTGTCGACGACGACCTGGGCGTTGTTGACAAAGTCGCCGAACTGCGCCTCCCACACGACCAACGAGCTTGGGTCCGCCAGGCTGTACCCGTACTCGAAGCCGAGCGGCGCGTACTCGCTGAGGGGAGAATTGGCTACGGAAAAGGGTGCCTGCGTTGCGGACAGCAGGTTTAGAGGAGTCCACGTCCGCCCGGTCTCCTGGTCGTGCAAGACCGCGTGGCGATGCGCAAATGTCCCTCGTTGGACATCCTGGCCGGTCAGGCGGACGTGATGGCCGTCGAGGCACAGCGTACCATATGCCAGTGCTTCGGCCGTGGCCCAATCCACCGAGCCCTGCTCGAAGCCTTGTTTGCGGGCCTCGATGACCCTCCGCAAGTTTTTGTGGACCTTCAAATCCTTGGGAATGGTCATGGTCTGCCGTGCAATGCTGTCCAAGATGTCACCGTCCACCGCTGTAGTGCCATCAGGCATGATATCCTCAGCCACATGCGCTGGAGATGGGAGGTGCCGCCAGCCAGGAGGCGAGGGTTGTGGAAGAGGCTGGTAGTCCTTGCTCGCCGAGAACGACTCGTTGAGATGGGCCGAGATCCTCTGTTGTTGGGCGTCCAACTCAGCCTGGCTGACAGTACCCTCGGCAAGCAGCTTTGACGCATATGCCTCGAGCAGGGGCGTCTGTTTGGCGATTTTTTCATACATCACAGGCTGCGTCAGGTCCGGCAGGTCGAGCTCTTGGTGTCCATACCTGCGGTAACAGACCAGGTCGACGACGCAGTCGGTGTGAAATGTGGCTCTCCAGTCCGCGGCTAGCTGGCAGACAAAGGTGACGGCCTCCGGGTCGTCGCCGTTGACGTGGAAAACGGGAGCGCCGACAAACCTGGCGATGTCGGAACAGTACATGGTCGAACGGGTCGCAACCGAGTCGGCGGTGAAGCCCAACTGGTTGTTCACCACGAGCCGGATGGTGCCTCCGACGTCGTACGTGCGCACCTTGGACATGTTCAAGGTTTCATACACCACGCCCTGGCCTGCAAACGCCGCGTCGCCATGCAGCGTCACACAGAGGACATGCTTGTGCTCGGTATCGCCCAGAAGACGCTGCGTGGCGCGCGTTTTCCCGCCCGCGATCGGGTCGACGGCCTCCAAGTGCGACGGATTGGCCAGCAGCGACAACAAGACCTGCCGGCCTTGGCCCGTGGTGCGCGTGCTGTCGACGCCGAGATGGGACTTGACGTCGCTGGTCATGCCGGGAAGAAGCTGGAAACGAGTCTTGCCCGCGAACTCGGCAAGGATGGCGTCGTACGGCTTCCCATAGACGCTGCCCATCATGGTCAAACGACCTCGGTGGCAACTCCCGATGACCACTTCGTCGACGCCGTGCACGTCGGCACTCCAGTCGATGAGCGTCGCCATGGCTGGAGCCAGTGCCTCGGCGCCGTCCAGCCCGAATCTCTTGTCGCTGGGATACTTGGTTCCCAGAAAGCGCTCCAACATGGACGCGGACGTGATTTCGTGAAGAATGGTCTGCTTTTCGGCCTTGGTGAAGTGGAACGGCGTAGGAACCTCGAGACGCTGCCGGAGCCATTCGCGCTTGATTGGGTCCGTGATGTGCTGCCACTCGACTCCGTAGGTTGAGCAGTAGATTGACCGGCAGACGTCAATGATGTCCCTGAGACGCAGAGACTGTCGTCCATCAGCGAGAAATCCCGGGAGTAGATCTGGTCCCAGCGCGAATTCTCGGTCCATGTCGTGCTGAGTGAGACCATAAAACGCAGGGTCAAGCTCCGCCAGCGCCGGTCGTGGTCGAGTGTCGAGAGGATTAAGATCTGCGTGTCGGTGGCCCTGGGTCCGGTACGCAGACACAAGCTGCTGCACGCTTGGTCGCTTGTCGAGCACCGCCTGGACTACAGAGGGCCGAGGATCTGCTTCGTGGCGGGACGACAAGAATCCCGGAGGCGGCTCAAATGCCTGCCAGGCGGGCATTTTGCGATCTAGTAACCGAGCAAAGTACACTTGCCACGACGCGTGGACCGAGTAGGGATCATCCTGCCACATTCTGTACATCTCGTCCAGGTAGTTTGCTGCATTCCCTTGCAGGAACGAGTCTGCTCTGTGCTGGAACACCTCAAGGGTTTTAGCATGTTGTTTAGGATGTCTCGAGTGTTTGAGATCTGTAGCATCACGAAGAGCTCTCTCACTCACCATGCGATCAAGGTCTTGCGTGGAAGTACTGGCATACGCTCTTTGATATAAGATTAGCCTCATCCAGCCTTGAGTCCTTCTCCCCCATTTCTGCTTCGATGCGCAGGTCGAAAGAAATCGTTGCTGTCCGGACCGTACACGGTGAGCCGTTTGCAGGCAAGGTTTTAATGAAACCCCGACGAAAAAAGTGTGATCAACCAGAGGCATGATGGACACCGCAAATGTTGGATCACAACTTCCAAAACCAGGGTAACAGGTCAGAGATCGCCAAGCTCAGAATCACAGTATCATGCTGATGTGTCTCTATACGGCAATCGTTGTTAGATGATAGCAGAGGCATTATTTAGGACTAGCTGACCGAGTCCAGAGTTTTGTGCGTCTTTCGTCCGTACCACTATTCCCAAGCGGACAGGCAATACCAGTGTCGAAGCACTACCGGGATTTTTTTTAGTGAGAGATGCCCTACGGTAAGGCTTGTTGCTTCGGGTGGAGAAATGAGACTCTCAGAGTGTGAAGTTGTGTTGCGGGGCGGCCTCGACGTCGGACCATGTGGTGCGGCTGTACGCAGGGAAGACAGGGCAACAACTGCATGTTGCTAGGAATTTCGGTTCCTCGGCTCTTCTCTCTTCCCGGTCTAAGGAGAGGCTCGGGTTCCACGAGGCTGGTACCTTTGTGCACAACATATTCTTCAAGTCCGCAAATACTCTAGCTGAAAAGTTAAAACACACACACACACACACACACACACACACATGCAGCCTACTTGGGTTCTGACGGACAAGCCACAGTTGCGTGAGACCCTCGTTGCAACCTTCAGCCTATACGGTCCCTTCGATATCTACTATATAGTCTTCTTCGCAGTGGAGGTTTTCGTCGGCCAGAGTCGTCGCTGCCGACAGACGCTGCAGTAATAGTTGGGCCAACAGCAGCGGAGTATCCAGCGTCGCCGTAACGCGGTCATTGTGGGTGCAGTGAGCAACCGTCCAGCCTGTCGTCTCAACCGAGACCCTTTGGCACAAGTCTGTCGCTACTTGGGCAATGAACCAGTCTTGATCCTGCTCGTCAACAGGGTACCTGATGGCCAGTCGGATGACCAATGCCTCAACCTTGCTGAGAGAGCGCCGGATCATTTGGGCGTCCTTCAAAAGGAGCGTCGTTGCCTCGGCCAATCTCTCGTGCTCTCCACCGCGGTCGGTGGTCTCCCGCAGACAGAGTCTCCGGTCGATCTGGACTTTCCGGAGAAAACCAGCCGTATGACCCATGACCTGCGAGAGAGAAGAGGGCGAGAACCTGGAGATGGACGGGTCGATGGTAAACATGAGCGAGCCGTAGAACAGAGCCACCGCCTCGCCGTAGATTCGCCGGCACACGAGGAAGAGACGCGTTGGAGTAGGCACGTCGACTAACCTCCCCCGGTGGCCGCGGCGTTCCAGAGCCAAGATGGTCTTGACCGTGCCGGACAAACATGTCACTTCACGAAGGGTGGCCGACGCTCCGCACCAGGGGATGGGGCCAGACGCGGGACCGAGAGGCTGGAGTTCAAAGTAATGCTGGAAGATATGTCGTCGTAGCTCGGGTGGAAGCGTGAGTAGTAAGGAGTGTGACATGACCAGGTTCTCCAGTAAGGGCACGGCGTATACGCGGTGGAATATTGAACATATGGCGCAACGACCACCCTGAAAATCGGTCCCGCGTTTTGAGCAATAACTGGTTGCATCCGACCTTTGCCATTATGTATTTATGCGTAATCCCCTGCAACCCCCTTCTTCCGTGTTACATGTCCTGCCGAGCCGTCGGACGTTTGCATACTCTTGCGTACCGAAGGTTCAGGTATCCGCAGCCATGTGGATGAAGCGACCAAAGCCTCGTCGTGGGGCAACAAGCCTACACCCAAAAATGAAAAGAAACAAAGGGGAAAATCCACTGGGATTCACACTGCTTACATAGTTGCCATGTGGTTAACTCGATGGCGGTGTACGGTATCAAGGGCCTGCACGACCTAGTGTGTCAGGAGATCACGAAGCTAAACACCATCAATCGTAGACGGAGAATTGCTTGCGCTACGGCCTTCAGATACAATTTTCGAATCTCTGAGAGAGGGCGGTCATGTCTCAAAAGATGTGAATCACACAAGTCACGATCTTTGATGATGTCGTCCTTGGCAATGGTAAGGCTGGCTGGAAAAGAGAGGAGGACAGATTGGCTGTTCAACCTAATCCGAGGTCCTCTCTCTTCCCGTCAACACTCAATTGTCTCTTTCTCTATTTTGTGGGCGACACTCGAACACTATCAGAATCAATCTTTGATCCGAATCCGAACCAGAGCCTTGGCTGGAGAATTGGGACCCTTTCCGTCTCCGCTGAATGGCCTGACAGGAGGTCTGTATAGAACACTGTGCGTACACTGAGGTAATAAGGGCGTATGGTATGTGTGTATTCATGAAGGAGGGTCGGTCAAGCCTACCCAATGGTAGAAGTGCCAAGGCGCTAAAACACGACATCGCCGAGTTAACCGACGCCGGTTACCGATATACCGAGAAACCGAGAAACCGCCAAACGATCCAGCGAGATGATTGGCTTACCGATGAGCCGATTATACCGAAGCTACCTGGGTGGAGGAAATCGTTCTGCATTGCATTGACCACCTGGGGTGGAATTTGCCTTGAAAGGTCTGTCATTCAACCTTGAGTGGTGTGTCCATTGCATGATGACGAGGGAGGAAAGGGATTCTAGGGTCAAGATCTTAACATCTCCAGCGTCCATTTCACTCACCCATGAACGCCCTCTATACGGGAGTGCATGGGCTGTTTGTGCGAGATCCAGCAAGGCTCCCACGAAGCCCTAGTGGTCATACATGGCCCCACAGGTCTCCTAGAACCCTGGCCATTAGCCTGTTTTATGAGGCATCATTTAGAGCAGGGAACGTAGGTTTACTGGAGGGATTTCTCACTTGGCACTGGGGACGGAAGACCTCTGGGCAAGATAATGGACCTACCTACTCCAGCTCCATGACGCGCCTAAATCTCCCCTTCTCCTCCCCACGTACACGCACTTTAAGTTTGTCCTTGTACTGCGGGGTTGCGGGTTTCGGGGCCGAGTAGCTGGGAGGCTAGAAGGATGCTTAAATGCCACCTTACCGAGACCGCTAACGTTGAACGACCTTTTTTTCACAACTTTGCGTAGCCAAGTATATGGTTTCAATGCCCCTGACAATACTGTTGGCGTCTCCTTACAACCACCAGCTTATCACGTCGATCCACCATACTTGACAAACACCGCGGTGCAACCCTCTCGCCTTTGCACATGTCCATGTTTTTGGGAGCAGGGGTTGAGGGAGCCCGAGGGCCCATGGAGGACGAAATCAACCCCCGAAGCTCGAGGCGACGTGCGGGCCGCGCATGCTGCACCTGCCACCGGAGAAAGGTGCGCTGCGACATGGTGCCTGTGGGAATCCCTTGTACCAATTGTCGTCGAGATGGCGAAGTCTGCGAGCCTCGATGTCGCCAACCGAAGCAGCGGAAGAACAATGGACTGTCGGAGCGTTGCAGGCCCAATCAAAGTGCAAATGCACCGTCTCGGTCCCAGGGGCACAACACTGAGGGAGAAAGTCACCGCTGGCCTTTGCTCGAAGTGTGTGTTTCCGGTTGTATAACGCGGCGTTTGGCTGACCATTTTTCTATTTAATAGCCAGCCACGATGGATGCTCCCCGACTAGACGGTGGCAGAATGAGCCAGTCCAGCTTGGGGCCTTCTGCTACGGCTTCCGCTGCCGCCCCTCAATACAAGGCCGCCGCGGTATCGACGCATGAAGCCAGCGAGAGTGCCACGACGCCGGCGTCCGGCTTCCGCACCTTTGTCGGACGAGGGGCGTACCTGGCCGCGCCGGGCGGACACATGGACGAGGACGAGCCGCCGCCGAACGACGTGCCCAGCGTCTTCGAGCAGACGTCGGCCGAGATCTTCCGCCTGCAAAAGGCGCTGGACGTGCCGCCGCGCGTGGTGCGGGACGTGCTGCTGGAGAGCTACTGGCGGCACTGCCACCCGTGGATGCCCGTCGTCAACAACCAGGCCAAGTTCCGGGCGACGCTCGACTGCCCTAGCTCTCCGCTCCTGCTCCAGGCGATGCTCATGGCCGGCAGCCGCATGGCCTCCATCCCCATCACGTATGCCTCGTCAGCCGAGCTGTACGCCCGGGCAAAGACGCTCTTCTGGCTGGACTCGGAAAAGGATCCCGTCGTCTGCCTGATCGCCGCCTGCACCCTCCAGTGGTGGACGCCGCACGGTCCGGAGAGCTTCTCCCTTGACACAGCCTACTCGTGGCTGCGCCTGGCCGTGAGCATTGCCTTTCAGATTGGCCTGCACCAGGACGGCAAGGCCCCGGTGAATGCGTCTCTCCAGCGCAGGATATGGTGGTCACTGGTGGTAAGTGTCCCATCGCGTCCACGATGTTGTTTTGTCGATTGGACATTGACCATTGACCTCTTGTACATCCAGGCCCGGGATTGCTGTATCAGTGTGGCGCATGGCCGGCCTCGTGCTATCAAGCTCTATGACAGCGACGTTCCCATGCCCTGCGAGTCCGACTTCCGGGCATCAGGCCTGGCGATGCCCGCCCGATTCGTGTCGTACGTCAAGATCTGTCTCATCCTGGGCGACATCGCCGAGCGCCACCACCCGCCCAAGGCCTTTCCCAGCGACAATCGTCTCGAGCTGGAGACGAAGCTGCGCGCGTGGATCCAGGCCCTGCCGCCCGAGCTCAAGATCTACGAAGAGCCACTGCCCCGGAGACTGATGCCGTACAATTTCGAGACGCGCCAGTTACACGTGGCGTACCTCGCGGCGCTGGTCATCGCGAATCACCCCAGTAACATCAACGACCCGCCGTCCCGTGTGGCCATCCTCGCCTCGTCGCTCATCGCCGGCCTGTTTGACGAGTTTCTGATCCGCGACGACGTGCGCTTCCTCGGCCCCGTCTTCACCTTTTACCTCCTGGCTGCGTCCCTGACACAACTGCGCTGCTGCCAGTACACGTCGTTGCGCGCCACCGCCGAGTTCAACCTGCGCATCATCGAGCGGGCGCAGGTGGAGCTCGAGAAGAAGTGGCCCTCTGCCACGGGCTCTCAAAGGCTGTATTCCAAAGTCCGCGACCGCATCTTCGGACAAGCAACCTCAGCCGCTGCTATACTGTCGTTGCCTGACCGACCGATCACGCCGGCACAACGACTCCTTTTCCAAGACTACGGCGACGAGCTCTGCAATCAGTGGCATCTCTTCCCCCAGGATCGCGTCACGGAGGGCGAGAACCTGGCCATTGGCATCCACGACTCTGTGGGTGAATTCGCCCGAGCCAGCGAGACCGACGATCTCTCCACCATCCTCGACGATTCGCTCGGCCTCATAGCCAATCCAGGCCATCATCTCTACGGCATGAATTCGGACCTGGGACAGGATCGAGAAATCACGGGGGGCGACATTGGCAGCTGGCTTTTGTGGGACGACGTCTTAGTCTAGGCTGCACTTTGCTTGAATGGATCGGCGAGCATCAGAGGGGATTAGCACTTATTTGAACAGACTGTGCAGAGTATGTTGGCCGGGAGAATGGCCGTGTAATTTTCAAGCCCAGGCTCTCTCTACTAGACGGAGTACTGGAGTATTTCCCAGCGTGTAGCCAATGAAATATCCGGCTCCACTGCCAAGCTCTGGCTAGTCAGGAATATGTCAACGCGCGAGGCTGTGACTATAGTCAAATTCGACTATACCAGTCTTGACTAGTTGACAACGCTGCCTCTTCTGCCCCCTTTTTCCTTGATGCACTACTCGACCCCTCCACCACTTGCCCACAAACAGCCGCTGTTCTTCCACTCACACTGTCTCCACGGTCGACGCCGCAGGCTTTTCTTGCACAAGATCTGACGCTTTGAAGGAGGTGATTTCGTCCAGCTGCGCAATTTGCTCGTCCGTCACTTCATCCAGGTGGACGACCACCTCGTCACCGAACTTTTCGCCGATTTCCTCCAGGGACAGTCCCTTGGTCTCTGGGAACAGATACCACATGCACGGCGTGCAGATGGCGGTCAAGACGATGAAGACGAGGTAGTATCTCCATCCGATGTTTCCGAAGGCCGTCGGGGCGGGCGTGAGGTAGGCGATGGTGGAGAGGAACAGGATTGAGATGGAAAACGCAACTCCCCGCGAGCGGATGTGCGTCGGGAAGATCTCGCTGCAGTAGACGAACGTGTTGGCGTCGAGGCAACTCCCATAGCTGCAGAGGGGGCGTTTCATTAGAAGAGGCACAATGCACATCAAGGACCAGAGCACTTACAAGGCGACATATGCGAAGAGGAAGAAGACCCCGGCACTCAACCCCGCCGTGTGGTTGCTGCCGATGTACTCGGCGCTCAACGCCGTCTCGAAGCTCAAGCAAACCATGCAGCCGATGCAGCCCGTCACTGGTGTCCTAGCGGTCAGCCTCACAATCCTCACGAGAGCGTCGGGCTGTCCGCAAGAGAGTTCAAACGAACCAAAAAGTTTGACTCTGCCGACCTTGTCGACGAGAATCGAGTTGATGTAGTTCCCCATACAGGCCACTGTGACGTAGGATGCCGCCAGGATAAGAGATGTACTTCCGCTGAAGCCGAGCCCTTGGTATAAAAGCACACTGTAATCTATCAACGGTCCACCGTGGTCAGTTTGGCCGGCTTGTCCATGTCACATCGGGCTCGGACACTTACTGTAGATGACCAGAATCCCCGTTGACTCGGTCCCGAAGGTGGTCAGAAAGGCACAGATCATGCGTCGACGGTAGGAAGGTTTGGTGAAAAGCGTCCATACGGTCTCCTGGCTGGCCAGAGATAGGTCAACCTCGACCTGTCGAAAGATCTGGTAGAATTCCTCTCTTGCAAAATGCGAACGGACCTCGCCACAACCACCACCACCACCACCATCAACTTTTCCGCTGTGGTGAAGTTTGTGGATGACGGCCCATGCTTCCTTGGGCTTGCCGTTCATCAGCACTGGTGAGCTTTGTCAGTGATGCGTGGTCTTAATCGAACTTTGTTTTTGGGTACACGTACGCCATCTTGGTGACTCGGGAATTACAGGCACCAAAGCCAGCATACACAAAGGCCAGAGAGACTGGAGGCACAAAGGGAAGCGCCATTGAAAGTGTGGATTGGAGGAAAAGTAACATGCCACTCCGATCCAGGCCGCCAAAACGTAGCCAAGGACCAAAATGACCCCTGTCGGTGGGTAAGCAGGTGAGAATATGGGAGTCATGGGACAGCTGCGGTGACAACGTACCATGTTGGGCGACGAGAAATCCACGGGTCGCTGGTGGTGCGACTTCGGACTGGAACAGCGGCACCAACACGACCAGCATACCTGTTTTGTGACGACGGTAACTATCTCGAAAATGAAATCGTAGAGACGGTTGAGCAGCTGAGCAGGCACTCACCCACGGCAAACCCACTCAAAAGACGGCCGACGAGAAACATGGCGATGTGTGCGGCCCCCCCTTGCAAAGCACCCCCGACGACAGCCACTGGGCCGGCCAAGAGGATGCTGCTTCGACGGCCGAGGCGATCACAGGCCCATGCGACAAATAGAGCGCCAAAGCATCCGCCGGCGGAGAAGACGCCGTTTATGGTGCCGAGGATGGAGTTAGTAAAATCATATCGTGGGTTGGTCGGATCCTGGCTCAGATCGAAATACGTGTACCACGACGGCTGGCCCAGCGTCGTTGACACAATACTGAAGCTATATCCGTAGGAAAGACTTCCCAGGCACAGTGAGAAGACAATCTGCAGTTGAAACCGTGGTCAAAAAGAGGGAGTCAAGGTGACGGGGAGTCAACGAGTGCCGACAGCTTACTTACCGCCAAGTTGAAAGCAGTGAGATTCTGTTCCTGACCGCGAGCCATGATGATGGACAACAAAATCTGACGGTGAGTGTCTATAACCCTAACCTTCGCAGTCAATATAAATGTAAGTGTACTTGTGTACTTGCGTACATCTTTCTCCTGCCTATATATATATATATATATATGTGCGTGCGTCTATCAGCACCGGATCCACTGCCCCGTGGAGGGAGGAATAGACTCCCCACCCCATGGGGCCGGGTGCAGGCGTGAATGAGGCCGGCTGGAACATGATACCTTCGGCACATGTGCACAGAGTATGTTCGGCCGCCCAGCCTCACCGGTCGCTCCTCCAGCAGGGTCTGCAGACAACTAGACATTGATTTTGGCCGAGATCCCGAAACCTATATTTGCTTGAAGCCTCGTCGGCAAAAGTCGAGTTGTCGAATCTTCACGGAATGTCACGGACCTTTGAAGTCTAGCCTGTGGCTAGAACTATGGGACGAGGCCTTGCCGGCTAGACTCTGGGGCCGGCAGACTACTAGAACTCATGTCTCTCAAAGAGCCGAGAAGCAGGGAGCTCAAACATGCCACCTTGCTCTGAGGTATTCGGTCGCAGGAGCAACTCTGCCATTGCCCCGGCTGCCTCACCCTCCTCGTCAATCTGGAAGCACCTATCTCGTGGCTCATTGGATTGATTCTCCAGCACCAGCGCTTCGTCTTTCTACCCTGAATCTGTCTCGAAGGGAATTTCTATATTTTAAACCCACGGGAAGCTTTGATGAGCTCTTTCTTGTCACCTTATTCGCACGCTCAAGCAGATCACTGTCTGTTGTCCCAGGACTTTTTTAAGCTTCATCGAGATGGCGGAAAATCACACAGCATTCTGCACAGCGGAAGAATTCGTTACTGCAGAGTATGACTTTCTCATCGTGGGAGGCGGCACCGCCGGGGCCTGTGTCGCCGCCCGACTCAGCGAAGATCGCGACTGCACGGTCGGGGTGATCGAGGCAGGGGAGAATCGGATGGACGATCCGAACGTGTCGACACCGAGCCTCTACCCGGCCATGATCGGGCTCCCCAAGTACGACTGGTGTTTCTCGTCCACGCCACAAGCCAACGCCGGGACCAAGGTGTACTCGATGCCACGTGGAAAGCTGCTGGGAGGGTCGAGCGGCATCAATTACCTTATGTACTGTCGACCTGCCTCCGAATGTCTCGATGCGTGGGTAGCGCTGGGGAATAAAGGCTGGGGCTGGAAGGACTTGCTCCCCTACTTCAAAAAGCACGAGACCTTGGAGCGCAGTCGACTTCGACGGGATTCCACCTTCATGCCGGTCGACCCCGACAAGACGGCCGAGTATCACGGCACCGACGGTCCAATCCACGTCTCCTTCAACGACTGGCATCCTCATTTCGAGAAGGACTTTTGCGAGGCGGCGTACGCCGTCACGGGTCGCCCAAAAACCATCAAAGACGCGTGGAGCGGCGACCACATGGGCTTCTTTTCCAGCCTCGGAGTGGTCAACCGCTCCACCGACCCGGGCAAGCGCAGCTACTCTGCCACAGGATATCTGCGACCAAACTTGGCCCGGCGAAACCTGCGAGTGCTGACATCGTCCCATGTCACAAAGATTGTCTTGGACGGCACTCGAGCGTTGGGGGTCGAGTTCGTATCCCGCGGTCAAACCTACAGTGCGAGGTGCCGCGAAGAGGTTATCGTCTGCGCTGGGGCCATTCAGAGTCCCCAGATCCTGGAACTCTCCGGCATTGGGAATGAGACCGTCCTGGAGCGCGCCGGCATCAAGTCTCAGGTCCGGAACGACGCAATCGGGGCCAACTTTCAGGACCACGTCCTGAGCGGTTTATTGTTCGATCTGAAGAACGACGTGGCCACCTCTCCCAGCGCTCTCCAGGACAATGCCGAGGCACACAAGCAGACCTACATGGAGACCGGGACGGGGCCTTATGGGTCGCCGGGAATGCTCATGGGGTTCGTGTCGTATTCGTCGGTGAGCACGCCGGCCGAGGTCGCCGCCACTGTCGCCCAGGCTCGAGACGAGAGCCAGGCCACGACGTCGTTTGAACGTAAGAGTGAAGAGTTGGTCCTGGACCGGCTTTCGCATCCCGAATTTGCCAACCTTCAGACATTCTGCCTGGGTGGCCGGCTCGACGTCTCCAAGGGCTCCGACCAAACCCAGTTCTTCGCACCGCATCCGGCCGGCAAGCACCAAGTCTCGCTCCTCATGTGCCTGGAGCACCCCCTGTCGCGCGGAAGCGTCCACATCAGATCGAGCGATCCCTTCCAGCAGCCCGAAATCAACCCTGGATACTTTGGCAATCAGGCGGACGCCAAGGTCCTCGCGGCGGGCATCAAATGGATCGACCAAGTATCCAAGCATCCGACATTCAGCAGGCACATCGCACGACGCGAACTACCCCCGGCAGATAGCGACATCCTCGACACGGAGGAAGGCCGCATCGAGTACCTCAAGAACCACATCAGCACGCAGTATCACCTGATCGGGACGTGTGCCATGGGAGAAGCGGTGACCGACCGACTGGTGGTGAAGGGAACGACCAACATCCGCGTCGTTGACGCGAGCGTGTTCCCGGCTCACGTCAGCGGGAACATCCTCGCGACGACCTACGCCGTGGCCGAGAAGGGGGCTCATCTGATCAAGGAAGACAGGAACAGGCGCAGGGCCAAACTGTAGAGATTGTTAACGGGCCATCTATCAATGCTTGCCCTAAAGAAGAAGGTAACCTTCCGCGTCAGTTTCAAGTATCTCTGTTTGCGCTGTGACAGGATCCGTCCAACTGGCGAATATCACTGTGCACGTAATGGAAACAAGACATGAATGGCAGACCCCGAATTGATTTCACGATTGAGAAGCGGTATTTCCACCGCAGCACTCAAATGCACGTTGTAACTACTCTTCCTCGCCGGAGGCCCCGGAGAGCATAGGCGGGACCATCTTGAACCGCTCATATTCCACACACGCCTCCCTGATGGCTTGGCAGCTATCGACGTAGCCAAAGAACCCGAATCTCCGCGTTTTTTCGAGACTGATCACCGGGAGCATCAGTTCCACCGAGCACGGGACAGACTCGAGGATGCCGACTTACCTCAAAGTCGTGGGCCAGGAATTCAAGATGCAAATGTCGGGGAACATGAACATCTGGTCCACGTCGTCGAAGGGGTTTGCCATGAGCCCGTATTTCTCGGACAGCGACTTCCACGCCTCTTGGACCTCGGGCCGGTGGGCCCATTCGGTCAATGTGAACGTGTACCTGACGTGGCCCTGTGGGCCATACCTGCGGAACTGGTTAGGAGGCATCGAGACAACAGGAGAGGGGATCACACTCACCCTCTGGGAGGCTGGTCGTGGGCCAGGGGCACCTCGCGGTACTCGGCGTGCTCGTCGGGCGGCACGCACTCCAGGCCGAACCAGCGAGCCAATTCGCACCAGAGCGTGCCCCAAGTGAAGGGCCCGCCGTCGGCGGCGTTGAAGGCCTGGTTTGCGGCCGCCGGGGTGAGCAGCGCCCACTCTGACAGGTAGCTGTTCAGCCGGGCGGACGACTGCGTCTGCTCCTTGTCCCAGGCGGCCCAGTCGCCGGGGAAGGCCAGCTTGCCGCCCAGGTGGCGCTGTACGCTGGCGTAGACGGCTAGCGGCCAGACGATGTTCATCGCGGCCGTCTTCACTGCGCCGACGATGGCCGCCGGCCGCACCACGTTCCACTCCACCCCGGTCCGCCGCCCGTACTCGAACAGCACGTCCTCCTGCGTGTAGTAGAAGTTGGGCTCGAGCAGCACCCGCGGGTCCGACTCGCGCTGAGGCGCCGTCGCCGGCCCGAGGTGGACGCCGTAGTTTTTCGCCCCGGTCTGCAGGAGGAGCCGCCGCGGTCGGATCTGCGCGGCCTCCAGCCCGCCGAGAAAGTTGCTCAGCAGCTGGCCTGTCGTGCCGATCGAGTGGACTGTCAGTTGGCCCGGTCGAGTGGGGAACCAGCAGAAAGGAAAATGTAGGCAGCACACTCACCATTGGCCCTGCACATCTCGTCCTGATCCGACCAGAGGATTCCCTTCTCGACCGGCGGTGGCTGTATGTATGAGAAGAAGGCGGCGTAATCGCTTTGGCTATGCGTTAGTGGATAGCACTCGGCACACATAGGTCTATGGGGGTGGAAAACCACGCACGCTTGCACCCCATGCTGACGCAGAGTGGCCCCAATGTGCTCGGGGGATTGCAGAAAGTCCACCGCAATAAAGGCCACGTTCACGCCGAGTTGACCTTGGGGTGGCTTTCGGGAGAGAGCGTAGATTTTGGACCACCGTTGCGGCGACTCGGCAAGGGCCCTCAGCATGTAGTCACCGGAGATGCCATTCGCGCCAGTGACGATGATGGACAGGTTTTTCAAATCCGGTGGATAGGTCGGCGTGCCGCAGTAGATGCCTTTTTGCTCGACGGTAATGGTGGACGTCCCAGTCATCTCGAAGGACATGGTGGTAGTTGAATGCTAGACGAACCTGTGGGAAAGAGGGGTGTATGTATATATATGTATTTCTTCCGCTTGGTTGAGTCGACTCTCCACCCGAGCTTCCAAGAAATATAGACGTCTCCCCTTTTATTGGACGCCAACACGACTTTGCAGCCTCGTCAGAATCCGGATCACCTCCGAGTTGCCACCGTTGGCGGCCTTTTCGGCCTGGGCTGCTCGGTAGTTTGGCACCACAAACACCATGAGGTGGGGTACCTGGAGAACTTGCCAAGTGCAATGCAAGTTCGTGAGATGATGCCATTCGCTCTCCCGGGTTCATTCCTCTGCAGGTGAACGAGTCGGCATAGGCGAAGAGACTGACTTTACCCGCCAGTCCATCACTGTGCTAGCAGAAATTCATATCTCGACCGTATAGGAGCTGTATTTGGTGGAAATATAGGAGCAGAATTCAAGATATAATGTTTGAATTTTCCTTGCCTTATACCAGATGGTCCAGATCAGAGAGATATGGGACCGATATACCAATTTGACAAGCTAGGTACACTAACAAGCCCCATTCTCTACACAGCACCCATCATCCTTGGCCGTTCGTTTTAACCCGGTCGCCAAGAGCGAACCCCTTGAGGTCGGGGGAAATATAGTGTGACGACTTCCGCAGTAAGATGCTCTCTCCGTAGCGCCGGACCGGGGCTTGGGGCAAGAGAGAAAAGCCCGACAGCGGCGCGAATCCCAGTGACCCGGTCCCCGTCCACAGCTCGCCCTCGGTGCAGATGGTGCGGATGGCGACGTACTCGCGCACCACCGGCGGCTGGTCGTTGTGCAGGTGCGGCAGGATGCGGAGGGCCAGGATGGCCTTTTGGTCGGGCGGAGGGGGCAGAGGCTTCAGGCCGTGGACTTTGCGTTCCGGCTTGAAGCCAAAATCGATGATCTTGTGGCCCACGGGCCGCTCCACGTGTCCCAGCTGGTAGCCTGGCGCGCGGGGGATGTTGGAAGGGTCAAAGGCCACCCTGCCGATGACCTTGGGCACGCCGAGTTGCTCGCGGCCCATGAAAAGGGCGCCCTCGTTTTCGAGGATCAACTCGAGCGCAAAGTCGTACTTGACGCCCGCCCACGTCACCTCGACGGTCGAGACCATCTCCGAGTACGCGCCGAACGGGCTGTACCCCCAGTGGAAGAGGCAGGCTGTGACCAGCGGCTCCTCCGCCAGCTCAAAGTCGTCGGGGATCAGGTGTTTGACGGCGGCGGCCGACGTGTAGTACTGGATCTTGAGCACGTCCGTGTCGGAAAAGTCGACCCTGGTCGCCGGGTACAGGGCATTCTGCGCCGGGACGCTGTGAGCTTTCCTCGCATCCAAACATCCTCGCGGCATGATTGTCGAAACTGAAGGCCTAGTTAATGTTTAAGAAATCTGAGTGGTGCGGATCAAAGTCGCTTTCCCGTCATCCACGTAGTAATGTACTTATTGTTGCTTTATATGTCCTTGAAGCGAGAAGGAAAACATTCAGGGGAAAGTGTGTAGGGGGTGGGGTAAGGGGTCTCCAATGCATGGACTAGTCATGGAGGTATGACATGTCGCGAGGCCGGCCGGCTGTGGCCGGTTCTTCGGTATAAGCAAGGGCTATTCGGAACTTGGGCAAGGCTCGGCATTTTGGTAATCGGATTGCCTGGTATGCTTTGTTTTTCTGTTTTTTTGGATCTTGATCATCTTTTCTTCGTAGATGCAGGCTAAAGCACATCCGTTGCCGATGCCTCGTCCACGGGACCCCCAGACATCTACTCAAGGGCCTCCTGGCTATAATCACCACTGCGGACAGCTGTTGTTGCCAAACACATCCACGGCGTAGATTGCTCCACCGACCGAAACAGGGAGCTCCGCGTATTCAGCGTCCCCTCCCGAAGTCGTCACGTACAGGCAGCCGGTGTCGTTGAGCGTGCGGCCAAACTGACACGCCGTGGGGCCGGGAAGCATGGTCAGATTGTGCACGCTCAACGAGGCCAGATCGATCTGCGACAGGACGTTGGAGCCACCGACGGTAAAGAGGCGTCCTCCCTTCTGTCCGTCGATTGCAAAGTCGTCGCCTCCGATCGGGGCAATCACGCGCGAGGGTCCGGTGGCCGATCCTGTCGAGTCGACGGGAACTGCCCCGATGATCTCCTGGCCTGGATTGGTAAAGTAGAGAGTGTTGTGAAAAATCTTGATCCCGTCGACGCCGATTATCGTGCTACCGGGGCCCATCAGTGGGTCGGCGATGGCAATTTCTGCGGTCCGCCGGTCGAGGTTGAGGCGAAAAACGACCCCGAGGTTCAAGTCTGCCCCGAGGACCATGTCGCTGCGCCCGGGCAGGGTCGTCAACCCGTCGCCGAACTTGGCCTCAGGCCAATCCATGTATTTTGTCACTATCGGATGAGCATCGCCCGGTCCGCAACGTGAATAGTCCACGGCCCAGAGCGAGAACGACCCCGTCTCTCCGAGATAGGTCTGCAAAGAAAAGGTGCCGGCGACCACGACAAAGAACTCTGGACGCACTTCGACGATCCCAACGGCGCCGGTGGCGGAGGGGAATGTAAAGACTAGGTCAGACGTGCCGTGGAACGGGTTGATCGAGTACAGGTGAGGTGCGGACGCGTCTGTGGCGAGAATCAGTCCATTTGACCGCACCGTCAGTGCTTCTATCCAGGTCCCATCCGAGTACTGATGTAACAAGGAGCTCGAGGTCGACGCCGCCAAAACCAGAGAAGAGAGCGCAAGTCCAAGCCAGGCGTGGACGGCGTAGAACGAGAGTTTGTGCCTGTACATCCTGCCACAATGCCCAAGGACAGGCCACCATTCTCCATGACTCGTCCTCTTCTACATGAACAATAAATACCAAAATTCACGGATCCCGCCAAGCCCACTTGCCCATGGGGGAGAGCCGTTTCGTACACCTCGTGGGGAATCCCCGGAGAGACAGAATTTTCGGATACTAGGCGAGGAATCCGTGGAAACCCTCGAGACGTGTGCGGGCTTCTCGGAATGAGATGTGATTCGGTATCTCGGTGACAAAGGCTGCTGAGCAACGGCCACGAACGTCCGAGGAGCCGAAAGTTGAACATCGTAAAGCCTTGGAGCATTTCGGCAGAATTATGTCCATCCCGCAGCGCAGAGACAGATAGCGCAGGCATGGCAGATTCTTGTGGGTACCCCATCAGAGATTACATTTCTTCGAATGGGTGAACACCAGGTTCCGACCTGTTGGAGTGACTGAACAAACCCTGACCATGCGGCTTCTTGGGTGCACCACAAGACGTCGTCCATTCCGGGCTCGAAATTCGTTGCAACGCCGACTTTCGTTCTCTGCGAGGCATTATGGGCGACCCGATCCCGCTCGAATTGCAGACGACCTGATGCGCAAGTTCTCTGCCGGTCAAACTTTTGTCCGCGAGCAACTCCTTGACGCTAATCAGTTGCGGTTGACCGGGCTCACTCTGGATCGACCATACCTGTGGAGGAATTGCGAATCGCTCCAGGACAAGGAACCCGCTCAAGGAACCCCCCTACCCGCGGGCTATCACCTCGTTTACTTCACGCCCATCCAGCCCAACGCATCTCTCGGGCGCGATGGAACTGATGCGTCATTCAATCCAGACAAGCCTTTCACAAGACGGATGTGGGCCGGTGGTTCCTGCGCTTGGCCAGGCGCCGCCAGCCCCGGCGACGGAGCTCAGTCATGGTTGACGGTCGGCGAAGTCGCAACAGAGGTCACTCGCATCCTGAGTTGCGAGGCGAAGGTTCAGCGAAAGGGAGAAGATATGTTGGTGGTGGGGGTGGAAAAGGAATTTCGCAACAGCAAGGGCGATTTGTGTGTTCTGGACAGGCGAAACTGGGTATTTCGCCCTGCGCTTGATCCTGCAAACTCATCATCAGTATCGCCACCCCAAAGTGCGCGACCGTTGGAATCTTCAGGCGAAGGTCTCAAGACACTTCCTGGTGGCTATCATATGAGGGAATACAACCGGGACGAAGCTGTGCTATTCCGATTTTCGGCGATGACTTTCAACGCACACCGCATTCATTATGACAAGACGTGGGCAATGGAGGTGGAGGGACACCGTGGTCTCGTCGTACATGGCCCGATGAACTTGATTGCCATGCTGGATTTATGGAGAGATGAGGTAGCCGGAGTGAGCCACGAAGAGGTGGTATACCCAGCGAGGATCGATTACAGGGCAGTTAGTCCTGTGTACGCCAGAGAGCCGTATCGGGTGCTGGCCAGCAAGGAGACCACGACCCAGGAGGGTGTTGAAGTCAAAGTTGTTAGTCATGACGGCACCCTCTGTATGAAGGGAACGATCGAGGGCTAGGCCTGAAATAGGATGGGTGACTTTCCGCGTAGACATTGGTATTGTGTGTTTTGATTCAAGCATTGGTTTTCCAGTGACCAATGCCGCTTCGAGTAATCTCGGGCTTTGTGATCGTAGCGCGGTTGATCACGCCAAAGCTAAGCCGACAGGAGCTTCCGGCTTTGAACCAGGTGTCTGTACGAGTAGGACCGTCACGATCTTAGATATGGGGATTGAGTGCTCCTGGAAGTGCCGACACCGGGTCCGAAAGCACCGCACTGTGTCAACTCCGGGATAACGGATCATCGCAGCCCAGGTACGGCGTCCACTAGTCGCCTTGGTTTCCACTGAGACGGGCCATCTGTTCCCCCCTGTACCATGGTGCTGAGCTGCGAAAGTCAGTCGGTTGCCTCATAATGGTATTTGGAGTTCATAGTCAATGACGATCCAGGGAGGCTAGAACTGTCTTCCACAAGAATCTGCCGTACATCGAGATTCTCAAATTCTGTCCCCATCGCAGGGAACCATGTACCGGTCACTGAACAAAGGGGGCAGACAACTATGGCAACGCTGTAGGCGTCTCAACAGAGAGTTACCGCAGGAGTCTCGACACTTTTCCCACACACCAAACCGACACGAATTGATGGAAATGACAGGATTCTCAGACACCCAGCGCACGGTGAGGGACGCAGTCATGCAGTTGTGTCAAAAGTTCCCGAACACCTATTGGCAGGGCTGCGATCAAGAGAGCAAGGATCCCCAAGAATTTCACGCAGCCATGGCCAAAGACGGATGGCTGGGAATCGCTCTGCCTGTGGAGCTAGGAGGAGGTGGACTCGGTGCGTTGATTGATCGTATCTGCCGGGGCTTGACTGACTAATGTGAAACGAAAGGTATATCGGAGGCCGCCATGATGATGCAAACCATCACCGAGTCAGGCGCCGGCATGGCGGGTGCGCAGGCCATCCACGCGAATGTCTACGCAACGCAACCTCTGGTCAAATTTGGAAGTCCCGAACAGATCCAGGGCATCGTCCCCAACATCATCAGTGGGAAATGGCGGACCTGCTTTGGTGTGACGGAACCCAACGTCGGGCTGGACACGACGCAATTGAGGACGGTCGCGGTGCGGGACGGCGACGGCGCCTACCGGGTGACGGGGCAGAAAATCTGGATCACCTGCGCGCAGGTGGCGCGGAAGATGATTTTGCTGGCGCGGACGACGCCGCTCGACCAAGTTCGCAGGCCCGTCGACGGGCTCTCCCTGTTCTGTGTCGACCTGGACCGGCAAGGCAAGCGCGGGCTCGAGATGCGGCCGATCAAGAAGATGGGCGGCCGCGCGGTTGACGCGAACGAGGTGTGGTTCGACGGATACGAGGTTGCGGCGGACGCGCTGATCGGCGAGGAAGGGCAGGGCTTCCGCATCATCCTGCACGGCATGAACGCCGAGCGGTGCCTGGTGGCGGCTGAGGCGCTGGGCCTAGGGTACGCGGCGCTGCAGCGTGCGGCCGGTTACGGGCGCGAGAGGGTGGTGTTTGGGCGGCCGATCGGGCAGAATCAGGGCGTCGCCCATCCGCTGGCCGACGCGTACATGCGGCTTGAGGCCGCCAAGCTGGCGACCTACCACGCCGCCCGGCTGTATGACGACGGCGACGGTGCGGCCGTTTCGCAGAGCTCCATCGGCGTCGCCTGCAACAGTGCCAAGTACCTCGCCGCCGAGGCCGCCTTCGCCGCGTGCGAGCGGGCCGTGCTGTCCCACGGCGGCATGGGCTACGCAGCCGAGTACGATGTGGAACGCTGGTTCCGAGAGTCTCTGGTGCCGCGCATCGCGCCGGTCAGTCGGGAGATGGTCCTAAACTACATCAGCGAGAGGGTCTTGGGACTGCCCAAGAGTTACTGATGGACATGGATGTGTCCTTGGGTACGACTCTGGAGATTTTGGGGAGGGAGATCAGCGGAGAATAGTGGAAATGACAAGCGTTCTCGGGCGGCTAATCCGCCGTGGTAAGGGAGCTGTACGAGTGCATAAAAGACATTCTGAAGAGACTAGATGGATTGACTCGTTTGTTGGCTTGAATGAATCACCTGGGAAGAGCCAACGGCCTTAAGCGATGCTATTTTATAAGTGAGTGTGTGCAGGTGACAGACGCTGAAATTACCTCGAAGAAAGTGCAGCGACGTATGACACGCATCACGCGCTTCGGACGCGCTTCGGACGCGATATCACGTGCTTTCTCAACAGCCACGCTAGTCCCTTAAAGGTCTTTGGCCAAAGGTCATCCGCTAGCGCTGCTAGTAACCCCTTTATTAAATACTAAAAGGTACTCCGTATATAGTTAGATATGCCCTCGGGCTCTGTAGAATTCATCATGTTCCTCTATCGAGTCATATTAATGCGCCCTATGGCCCTCGAACGCTTTCCCATTTCTCATATGTGACTACGTTCTTGATGATCACGACCAGCACGTCTGTTGAAATCTTACACCAGCTCACAAGTGGACTGCAACGGTGCGCCATCCTCCTGCAGCCTATAGCGCTAAGAGGGGATTTCTCTGGTTTAAAATTGCTTCAAACCTCCGTGTTCCGTCAGCTTCACCCGATCAGCATGCTGCGCTCTCCTCTCTTTTACACTGTAGGCATTTATAGTCAGTCTATGACGGCAATCCTTGTGATATAACGTACATGTCACCCAGGGCCACCATACAGATGGTCTGCCAGATTCCGAGACACATTCGGGGCAGGACGCCGCGGTACAGGCCGCGGACGCCGCTGCTCCGGTACACGTATGCCAGGGCGGACCACGTCGTCAGGCGCTTCGGTCGGTTGGGGTCGTCGACGACGCTCCTTTGCATCTCGACGCGGACGACCTCAATCGGCTGGTTCCAACATGCCAGGCCTCCGCCGATGGCGGCGCAGAGAACCTTTTCCGTCGGCCCCGGCCTCTGCTCTGACCTTTTGTCGGTCAGCCGCCGCACCACGTCCTCGGACAGTCGGGCAAATGCCAGACGCGAGCCCCAGTTAGACATCTGACGCAGGGCGACGGCGTTCGCCCCCCTGTTGACGCCACGGATGCCGTCGCGGTTCCAGATTTCGCGCAACTCGGTCCACGTCGACGTCCGCGGGTGCCCGGGGGTGTCGCGCCGTTTCGTGATCTCGACCGTCTTCATCCGCGTGCAGACGCCCATGACCATGTACGCCTGCGCGGCGCCGCCTGCCATACCGGCGATGAGACCACTGGCAAAATCCGACAGTCCGAGCGACCGCGCTCGATGCTCGATATCGGAACTGACGAAAAACAGCACCGCGCCTTTGCTCGATGCCTCGGCCCACGCCCACGGGATCAAACCTTGGTAGACTGTTCGAAGTTCAGGACGGAAGAAGATTACCGTGATATCAAGGCAGCTCACTCACAGCCCAAAACGCCCCCTCGAGCCCAAATGGCGCGTAACGTGGCGGGAAAACTGTCGCCTCGATTTGCCGCAATCCTCGTCTTGATGACCTCCATCGGCTAACGGACAATACACAGGTGTCAGTCAGAACCAATTGTGCAGAAGACACTTTGTCGTTCCTCACCTGGCCGAGGGTGGTGACTCTGTATCTTGTCAGCACTTTTGGACCTCCATCATCACAAAGGAAATTCGGGTCGGTCCCCTACTCGAAAAGATGCAAGCAACCACCCACTACGAAAGAAGCACATGTCAATATGCGGTCTCACCACCGTTGAGTGGCTCAAAAATATCACTCACAGATCAAGTTTCCAAAATTGACCGGTCTCTTTTCGATCGTTTGAGATTGTGACATGACTGTAGGAGTGGAGCGTACCTCTTTCCAGCTGACGTCCCAACGTACTCTTGGGAGGGGGCACGGGCTGGTTTTGTGACTTCCTGATGTAAAGGCAATTGGGAGCAAATCGAAGACGTACCGACAAAAGAAGCTAGGACTCAAGAATACTGATATCAGCCAGTCCCCAGGGAAGACGTCCCAGCCTGCATTGTCTCTGTCGTTTATGCTTTGCACATCTTCGATTTTCCGAGTTGCGGGTTTGGTTCTCCCACTCTGTACTGGAACAATCCAAATTATCTATTGGCAGCATTGGGTCGCCAATTGCTACCGCGGAGAATACGCAGGACCCTACGGGCCTGTCGGTAGTTGTCCCAGCCATCACCTATCTTTTTGGGAGAGTTTAGCCCCAAGAATTTGTGATCGGCATGGTGCTTTATTCCGAAGGTGACAGCCACTCTCGGTGTCACGGCTGGTCGGCATTTGAATCCTTTGCAGCTACGGAATAAGGAAGTGAAGACGCTAAATACAAGGCTGTGAGTCTGTCTCCACCGAGTTTCGTTCCCCTTCTCCCGTGATACTACTAGGTCAGCATCGACATTACCTACACGATGTGACCCACGCAACATGGGCAGATGGCTGCTGGCACACGCCGAAAGAGATTGGCACCCGGTGGTACTTGTTCAGCGCTCCCCCGCTTGACTTTGACAGCAAGCTTCCCACTGATATGACGCCACACGCTATGCCAAAAGCATTCTTGACGGATCTTCTATGTAGTCTTTGATGGTGCTCAAGAACATAACCGCCTCTCGATCCTCAATCAGGCGGTGGTCGTACGACAGAGTTGTGTACATGATCTGTGTTTCCCAGCGGTTAACCATGGCATCTCGATCCCGGAGGATAGCAGACACTACTTACAGGTCGGATCTCGGGCTTGCCATCGATGGCGACGACGCGGTCGTAGATGGTGTTCATATTGAACACGGCTGACTGTTGATAATTGATGACGGGCGTTCCAAACATCGACCCGAAGATTCCAGGGTTGCTGATGGAGAAATTACCGCCTTGAAGATCCGCCATGCTCAATTTTCCGTCCCGAGCCTGAACCCCCAAGGCGTTAGAAGGCGTCGGGTCTGATGACCTGTCTCTTGACTCAAAGAGATCCCCTAAGAGGATGCTGAACTTACCTTTTCAGCAAGTAGCCGGACTCGCTTTTCTATCTGCACAATGTCCAGGCGCTCACAGTCCTTCAACACCGGGGTGACCAGCCCCTTTGGAGTCGAGACGGCAACGCTAATGTCGACGTAGTCTCGATATATAATCTCCTCCTTGTCGATATCCATGGCCGCATTGACCACGGGGACGCGCTGGGCAGCCAACGCCGCCGCCTTGACAAATGCCCCCATGTAGCCCAATCGGACGCCGTGCTCGTCCAGAATTCGGGCTTGATTGTGTTTACGCCACAACATCAACGCGCTCATGTCGACCTCTTGCATTGTCGTGAGCGTCGCATTTGTCAACTGCGACGATTTCAGCCGTTGCGCAATCGTTTTTCGCATTCGAGGTAAGGGATCCTGTCGGCACATTGTCAGCATTTCTCGGTGTTAAGATGTTTGGCGGGTTCCGGAAGTTTCCAACATACCACGCGTTCGTCACGGAATGGAAAAATCTCCGTTGCAGCTTGAGAGTTTCGTGGCAGTAGATTTGGGCTCTCAATCGGTCGTGGTTGCTCCAGGACGCGCGGCGCTGGAGGTGAAGCATTTGAGGTTCGAAAGGGCACAAGAATATTGGAGAGGGGGTTGTTCCTCAATTGCTCGTGAGAGGGTAAGTTGGCGTCCCCTTTCGAAGACGACTGCTCGGTCCACGATTGCATCTTCTCTGTGTCTGCTATCGAGTCGGAATGCGCAGGGGACGACTTCGCAGCAGCAACCCATGGTGCTTTTGACGCCGTCGTGGCTGAATCGGACGTGGTGTCTATCTGTGCAACGTCCTGGCCAACCGTCACTGTATCTCCCGGAGCCACGAGCAGCTCAGCCAAAACACCCGCTTCTGGAGCGTTCACCGACACGTCGATTTTGTCGGTCTCTATACTTGCGAGTTCCTCGTCGACCTCGACACGGTCACCGATCTGCTTGTGGAAGTGCGCGAGAGTGCCTTCTGTGATTGACTCGGCCATCGATGGCACCTTGACCGTCGTGTGCTGATGGCGACGAGCTGCCATCAGCCAAGGAGGCTGGTTGGACAACCGTGTCCCCGAAGCATGCTTTGACCGAGCGTGGGAGAAGACTGTCCACATGGTGAATGCTAAATCCCCTATGGACAGCTTGTGAACATCGCGCCAGACCCAGACACGTCGAGACCAACGGGTTGATGATCCCCGGACTGAAATACACAGCTCTTGGACCGGTCCTGCCATCTGCTTGCTTGCTGCTGAAGTGCATGTCCATTCATGGTTTGGCACCGCTGTAGCTACAAAGGTAACCACATGGAACTAGATTGGGCCACATGGGCTTAGCTATGTTGATTTGGAATTGACAGTAGGACTCCCGAGGCGTGCAAACTTCCGAACTGATTGGGCAATAAGCAAGGCCCCTCTTTGCCCGCTGAACGGCCGTTCGGATGATGAGGATGTACCGTACCGACAACCACTCTCCGCTACAACCGAGTGGCCATCATGTCACCACTCTATCTACTGTTTCTGAAACAAGCAATTAATTAGTTCACGACATACCGAAAATGTAGGCAAGTCAGGGCCTTTGAACAGATATACGGCCTACTACATCCCGTGTAGCTGATATAGACACTCTTTAATATTGCATCTAAGATTATGGGAGAAGTGCGAAGTATAGTCATCCATTAGTTCTTGGATACGGACAAGCACCCAGAGGACAGCAACCTTCAGATCGTTCGAGGTACCAAGCCATACGTGCTGGCTGAACGAGATATAGTGACTACTCCATCTCGGGGAGAATGACGTTGCTCGGGCGGCCGTCGATCAGATTGTCCCTCATGGTCTGAGCAGCCTTGACGCGGATGTCGGCGAAGCTCTCTGGGGTGTAGTACGCCGAGTGACAGGTGAGGACCATGCGTCCGAGGAGCCACGACTCCCTCCGACGGTAGGCCTGTACCAGGGAGGGGACGCTGTCCGCGGGGATGGGCTCGATGGGCAAAACGTCCAGGCCGACGCCACTAAGGACGCCTTCCCTCAAGCAGCGCTCGACGGCGTCGAGGTCGACCACCTCGCCACGCGCCGTGTTGACCAAGATGGCCCCCCGCGGCAAGAGGCTCAGCAGGTCGTAGCCCACCATACCGCGCGTCTCGCGCGTATGCGGACAGTGTAGGCTGAGGGTGGTCGAGCGGCGGAATAGCTCGCGGACGTCGCTCACGCGTTCGACGCCGAGCGCCTGGTCGGTCCCGTTGGACACGTAGGGGTCGTAGAAGAGGACGTTCCACCCAAATGCCTTTGCGCGCATCGCCGTTGCCGTGCCGATGCGGCCCAGGCCCAGCACCCCAAACGTCCGGCCGCGCACCCGCGACACGAGCGGCGAGTCGACAAAGACGTAGGGCGCCGGCGGCTCGGTTCGCTGCTTTGCGTCGTGGAGGAGGATCCCTCGTCTCAGAGAGAGGGCCAGGGCGATGGCGTGGTCGGCAATCTCACATATACCGTAGTCTACAGCGGCGTGAGAAATGTCGACGTTAGAACGGGGGCTTTCATGTACAATTTGGGTCTCACGGGATGAGTCTGCGTGGGTAACGCCAGACATACCTGGAATATTGCACACTATTACTCCTCGTTTGCCCAAGGCGTCTCGGTCGAGCCGGTCGTACCCAACGCCCATCCGCACAATGCTAATTGGAGGCGGCAAATACCGGTGTCAGTAGTTTTGTCCTGTAGTTGTGCCAACACAGTTGTTGCTCTCTCTCTTTCTCGTCTCGACGCAAACAGATTTCGCGTCTGGTCACTCTTTCAAACTCACACTTTTAATCGAGGGAATAGTTCCAGATCCGCCGCGGTGAAGTACGCCTTGAGCAGCATGATGCCGTCGACTCGATCTCGCAGCTCCTTGTCAATGGTTGACCAGGGTTTCGCCGACGCTGCTCCTGGCGGTATTAAACTGGCCTGTACATAGTGGACCTCATAATCTTCAGCGTCTCGAGGCGCGAACGTGCGCTGTTCGACCAGGTCATCCTGATGGCAGCATCGAGTCAGTGCATGTCCAAACAATTTTATCCAAAACTTGTCCAAGCAGCGTACTGGATAGAGCCCATCGGCTTGGAGGATTGTGTATTTCCGTCGTTGGTGATTGAATACTTGTTCCGTCATGGCTCAGGATCAAAACAAATTGCAGCCTCTGCGTCAGCGTCATGTCAGGAAAGACAGTCGCACAAAACAGGCACTTTAGTTAGGAAGCGTACTCGCAAACTTCAAGGGTAGTAAGTAGTCTAGCCAAACCTGCAACATTTCGGTGCTGTGGCCACGGCGCCACCAGCATAAGATGCATGGCTCGTGCAAACACTGCTTAGAGCCCGTGGCAGCATTTGTGGGTCGCATCCAACCGGCAAAGGGGCCAAGAAGCCCCATACTCCCAATATTCTCCGACTTGACCCCCGGCTCCTCGGCCATTCTGCTGGCTGCGGCTGCTGGAAGTGGTCACAGCCTCGCAGGAAGTTTTGTTCCTGACCGCCGGTTGGTCCGAGAAGCCGGGCCACACCACAGAATACAACCTGGGGAACTTCTAACGTTTGGACTAGAAATTGTTCCTGGCCGAGATCAGCGAAGTTTAGACAGTCTGATCATTGACCCGTCATCGAGCTGTCAGTCTTCGTCGTCAGGCCGCACTGCCAGTTGTCTGCCAGTAACACGCACGGCAGAGGCGTAGTCGATGGCGGATCAGCGACGAGAGACCGTTCCACGGGGGACCTGGGATACCCATCTACACATCCTCGATCCCCGGGCCTTCCCCTATGCCCCGAACAGACTCTACACCCCGGCTCCGGGCAGGCTTGACGAACTTATGGCGTCGACATTTGCAGACTGCTTCCTCGTCGTGCAAGCGTCGGTGGAGGACGGCACCACGAGCATATTAACTCACCTGCGACTGGCTGCGGCCCGCTATCCAAGCAAGACGTTTCGAGCAGAAATCGAAATTCCAGCGACCACGGCCTACACCGACCTTGAACTCCGCGACTTAGACGACAAGGGGGTCCGGGCAATTCGGCTCCACGGGGTCCTCGGCTGGGGTCGCGACGAGGTACTCCAGGGGGTGCAGAAGGAGTTTGTCCGACTGGCCGCCTACGCGAGGAGGACCGGATGGTTCCTGTCGAGCATGTGTGCCCTGGAAACCTGGGTTGAACTCGCCCCGTGGCTCGTCGAGTCGCCAGACCTGGAAAACGTCCGGATCATCGTCGAGCACAACATCAGAATCGATCCGTCGACAGACGTCGCCAGCAACCCGGGGCTCGACGGCCTGCTCGATCTCTTCGCCCAACACCCAACCCGTTTCTTCGTCAAGATCTGTGGGCTCAATCGACTGGAAGCGAGGACCGACGTACCGGGGCGGATGTCCGCCATCCCTGCGCCGATACTGAGTATTGTCGAACGATTACCCGATCAGGTCCTCTGGGGGTCCGATTGGCCACATACCAATTTCGAGAGTAAGACGCTGGCGCCAGTTGCAAATAAGAACGTCAACTTGGAAAATGAGCTGGCCTTATTGAAGCTTGCATTGCCGCCGAGCTCATTGCAGAAGCTCCTCGTCGACAACGCCGAGAGGTTGTTCAGATAGGAGGGTGTCCAGTCTGCATACTGTCAACCTCTTGCAATTCAGGCCTCTGGCTGGATATCGACCCCTCGGTTTTTTGGTTCTAAACATTATAGTCTCTTCTCCGCCGAGCGTTGCCAACTTTCTCTTTACTCTCTGTCAATTCTCGTCGTGCCGTGCCCTTTGGATTTGACCTCCGAAGCCCGCTGGGTCTTTCCAGCCAGTGGTGAGCCCTAGAAATATTCTATGCGTTGCAGAAGGTGAGCTCGTATCTGATGGAGTTGACTCTCTCTCTCTCTCTCACGTACAATTGACGTTGCACTTATTAACTGCCAGGACCCCGAACAATAGGCTGTGCTGCTCCTCCGGACTCAGTGCCCTGGTAGACTATCGGACCGTGACCTACAGGGTGACGGGGCTGCTTCTATCGAGTCTCCTGCTATAGCCATCCCTTCCCTTCTCCCGTAATTCCTGTCTAGCCTTTACGACCCTCTTCTCAGTGGGTTTCACACTCTCCATCGTCACTCTACAATACCTGATGTCGACGGTATAGCAAACGCGTCCAACCTTCTCACAGTTCCCATGTATCCGCTTGTCGCCTTCTTCTCGGACAAGTACCGTAGACGCGGCAGTTTTGTCCTCGCACTTCATATAACGACGCTGGTCGGGTTTTGCCTCGCTCGTGAGTGTCAAACAGACCATCCTACAGGTGGTTACGAAGAGGAGACCTGACTCGACCACAGTGGGAGGCTGCGCCATGGGCGGCGTTCCAAGCCTCGCGTACGCCGGCGTGTCTCTGGCGACATGTTCTTGCTACCCAGCACTCGTCTTGGCCGTGATAAGATCCCAGAATCCCCTCTCCCCGTCCACGGGAGACATAGGTCCTCCATACCCTCTAGTCTAATCATTGCTAGACCTGGATAGCCACCAACCTGGTTCCATCGTGCAAGAGGGGGGCTGGCACGGCATTTCTGCTCGGGATGGGAAACCTCAGCGACGCCATGGCGTCGACTTGCTACCGGTCAGTCCTCACGTCCTCTTGGGAGCCAGTGCGCGGAAATGGCATTGCCAGGGTCCAAGACCCCCCGAATTCCATCCTCGGGCGCAGCCTCGAACTTGGCTTTGTGTTGGCCGCCATCGTGGCCGACTCGACGTTGCTGTTTTTGTACCAGCGGATCAACAAGACCAGTGAATCCCTCGACGCGCGGCAAGTTGGCCTGACCGACCGGCAGTTGAGCGACCTGGGGGACCATGCAGTGACTTTTAGGTATGAGGTCTGAGGTACAGGCAGCACGCCTTGGGAGTGTCGGAGCGTCGTCGACGTCTGGGAGAAGAAGATACTTCCTGGCTCAGATACGCCATCGTCGTCAATCGAAGACATAAGCAAGATCTCAATCACATCGATATTGTTTCCTGCAGAAAGGACCCTAGCGCTGGAGAGGTTGCCCCAGTGCTATCGTCGCTACCCGCACCACCATTGTCGGCTTACTCGTGTCAACTGTTAACGACGTAGTCGAAATAATGCTCATAGACTTTCTTTGACGGGTTCTCACGCCCATGTCTCTTAGCTCGTTGCTCCACCAATCACAACAGGGCACACCATGATGGCCAGGAATGCTAGGCCACTCAGTATTAGTGGTTAGTCGTTCGATTCCGCGGCCATATTGGATAGCATACTCGCCCGCCGCTCTAATCACACTAGTATCACGGTACAACCTGGAAAGGGAGGGGCTGTATTATTGGGGGTGCAATCATGATATGGATTCTGAGGCGGTGGAAGCCTAATTAATGATAGAGGTAGTAACGTGCCTCGTGCGACGTGCTCAGTCTGATACGGGGTGGCCCCGCCGGCTGGCATGTGGTCAGGTCATAGACCGTGAATATATCTCCAGGAGCCCAAACACTCGGACTATAAAAAAAGACAAACAACCGCGCAGGATTGCGGCTCACCTCGGGCGGATTTTTCGTATTGGACTTTCATGGCCACAGTCCCAGGGGGCATCTTGTACCAGAGCACCTGCTGGACGATGTTCAATTGCGGACCCCTGGCGGGGTCTAGTCGCTTGATATCTGGTTGAGCGGAGCTGGTGACTTGCAGGGTAAGTTGGTTCTGAATCTTGGGGCCAGGGGGATCCGACCACACAAGAGTCACTTTGAAGTCGGATACCTCCGTGCAATTGAAGGAATGGATGAATGGATTGCCGTGCGTGGCATCGAAGGTATGCTCAATTCTGCCTGTGCCAGCTTCACCCTGTACAATTGTGAGCGAGTTGGCGAGATTGGCACGGCCAAACCCTGTGTTGTCGTTAGGCTCCATTGCGCCAAAAGGAAGCAAGGTAGCGCCGTTGATCAGAAGAACCCTGACCAAGGCAGCACTCGAGGATATAGCGGCATAAAGCTCGATCTTGATCTTTCTGTGTCTTGGATGGGTATTTCCGTCTGCCGCGGACATTCTAAACTTCAGCATCTGTTCCTCTCTCATAATCCTTCGCATCAGGCCCACAGTTGGCCGGTCGTGGTGTTCAGGCCGCCCATGGTCATCGTCGGAAGGGCAGCTCGTGAGAATGGTGGGAGAACAGTAACGGTGACAGAAGAGCTAGCGGCTGGAGGCAATGGTGGGGAGAGAGAAACTCGCCGCTAGCGGGATGGAAGCCCAGTGGACACCATTTTGTACTTCACGGGAAGGAAACGCGCAAGGGTGGACTCTGAAAGTTTGCCGGAGGGCCACACGGCAACAGGTAAACGAAAGCCAACTACTGATCGAAAAGGCGTATGCCAAATTTAAGTGATGGTTGAGGTGCAAGAAGACCTGCAAGATAAATGAGAAGACCCTTTCACCTGATTGGCGGTTTTCACGTGGACGCTCTATTCCGTAATTAGCATAGCCTGATTTATGTCCCGTCCGCATCATGTGTTCAATGTCCGCTCTCCCTTACCGGAACTTATCTTTGAACTACGATTCTTCCCCTCTGGATACTTCTGTCATTCTACGTACACACGCAGCTGAAGAGGTTGCTTTCGGTGATGGCCTGCAAAGCATCAGAAAGTGCTTTCCCCAGACGATGTGGCTCTTCCTCGTCAGCACCATCATCCCTTTCATTATGAGGTTGGGCGACGAGGCGTCTCATTCAAAAATGTTATTCCACCGCGCACACTCTTGTTGTTGTTTCCTATCTGGATGCTCTTTCGGTTTTGGTCATCTGCAACACTTCAACATTATCATCCCAGGATGGACGCGCCAAACTCCACAAGTTTGACGAACTCGCAGACGAGACCATTCACATGGAGCACAGTAAGTTCTCACGCATGTTGACCTCCCCCAAGCACTCATCTCCACGCTTTATATCAAATCTGACGTGAGCCAAGATATCGCCATCCAAGCGGCTAGTTTATCATCCGTGTTTCGATGGCTTTCAATGTGCGCGGCTTGATGTCCCTCTAGATTGGAATAGCACTGTTGGGAGCGAACAACAGGTTGCTATTGCTATTGTAAAGCTGCCTGCTCGTGTGCCAGTGACTGACCCTCGATATGGAGGCGTGGTTCTCCTCAATCCAGGTATGTATATGTTGGTTGGAAACGATAAACAGGCAATTAATGCGTCTAGGCGGCCCTGGAGCCTCCGGTGTGGACTTGTGCCTGAGAGCTGGCAAGCCCATTCAACAGAATATCGACTCAGAAGTTGATCCATCATCGAATGTAAGCTGGCGTTTTTGTGCTTTTGCCGGGATGAATCTATGATGTTCCTACTTCCTAAGCCCTTCTAATTCTGATCTCCCAGAAGTGCATACGCCCCACTGACCTTCTATAGATCCAGCAATCTTCCAATTTGAGCATCAAATACTTTGATGTACTTGGTTTTGATCCCTGTGGTGTCAACAATACAAGCCCACGCTTTGAATGCTTCACGAACTTTTTTTCACGGCAGTCCTGGACACTGTTTACCAACCACGTCGACGTTTTTGGGAGCTCTGATACTGCGTTTGATGGTTTGTGGGCTAGGACGATAGCCTTAGCCCACAGCTGTTCAGATACATCAATCGCAGTTCACAACGGACATGAGCTCCAACGATTCACGAATACCGCTCCAGTTGTGACGGACATGGTAGAAATTATGGAGCGCCATGGTGAATGGCGGGAGCAGGAAGCTCGCAGCCGGCCTGCTCAAACTTCAGCGTCTCACCAACATGTTCAGTCCATCAGTGATCAAATTCGCCGGAGGCGTGGAGAGAAGAAGCTTCTTTATTGGGGTTCTCGTATGGAACTGTGCTCGGTGCATCCTTTGCAGCTATGCATCCTCATCGAGTGGGCCGCATGGTCTTGGACGGTGTATGTGATGCAGAAGACATATTTCGTGGAGGCTGGCAGACAAATCTCCAAGACTCCGATACCGTCATACACAAATTTTGCGATTATTTTCACGAAGCCGGCCGTGAACGATGCCCGCTTTATGTTGGAAGCAGTTCTGCAGAAATTTTGGATAGACTTGAAAACGTGGTAAGTATTAACCCGTTCAGAATCGAGAGGATGACAGCTTATGGAGCACCTTACTAGGTAACAGCGATCAAGGATAGCCCCCTTGCTGTCAAAGCTTCTCCAAATAGAGGACCAGATGTTATCACATACAGCGATGTCATGAGATTGATTCGGGTGTCGCTCTACTCACCTCCTTTCGGCTTTCCAATAATAGCGAGGTTCCTCGATGAGATCTCTCGTGGGAACGGGTCCGGATTTGCTGATTACAAGCAAGATGAAATTCCTACTTGTCAGAGCTTATCGGAATCAGATCCTCAAGAACGGCCTGAGGATTGTCCGGATTACGACCAGTTGATTTACGAAGTTGCAGACTCGATCATTTGCACCGACGCTGAAGATCAGACGAATTTGGCGAAATCAGATTTTCGAGATTATCTTACTCGCAGGAGGAACCAGAGCAAGTGGCTTGGTGACCTATTTTCGGTCGTTCGTTTGCCCTGTTTTGGATGGCAAGTCAGGCCGAGTTGGAGATTTTCTGGTAATCATGACTACTGCTTCATGGTTCATTAATTGCTTACAATTGTTTACAGGACCCATTTCTGGAGACCCAGCGCACCCTTTACTATTCATTGGGAACACATTTGATCCTGTCACGCCCATCCACAAGTAGGTTCTTTCCGCGTTCTTCACGAAAGACTTTATACGGATATGTATCAGCGCCCATAAAATGACTCGCGCTTTCAACGGCTCCGTTGTATTGCGACAGAACTCTGAAGGGGTAGGCATAGTTCTAATCTGGAATTAAGTCATGTCTAACAGCATACGTGATAGCATTGCTCTCTAAACTCCCCATCACTTTGTACGGCAAAGGTGGTTCGGCGCTATTTCCAGACCGGTACCCTACCAGAAGTAAACACCATGTGCGAGCCAGAGAAGAGGCCCTTCTCCTTGCCTGTAACCGACATGTCTCGCACGCCAGGAGACGAAGCCCTTTTAGATATGCTGGAGGCATTTGACAAAGCTCCCATCAATGCGTATCTAGGTGCACACAACTAGCAGGCGTGTTCTCAACTGCAGGGTGCAGATATGATACTACGAATTCCAGGACAAAGAGAGCTAATTAAGGGCGTGGGCGCAGAGACAGGTAGACATTTGGTCTGTGGCACCATGTGAGATAAATACATCATTACCGCCGCGCAGACAATCAGATTGCTGTTTGGCAGGGTGCTTCTTGCGCTGTAGTGCGCCAACTTTTGTCAAACCAAGCCTCGTGTCGGGTCGCACGGGCAACCTGGACTTCTGCGTGCGGAAACCTGGTGCTGTAACACTATTTTGTTTAGGTAGCGAATGTCTTGGTGTTGAAACTGCTCTAGTTTCAGAGAGATGTTTGCAGACCAACAGTAATCAATATATATCAGAGTAGTCAGAGTGCTTCGGCGCTGAACCATCCGGTCTTTGTTCATATTCTGTAGAGTAATGTACTAAATTGCCATAATTACGAAGTTGGGAGGCTTGGACCATCTTCTACTGTTCCGAGCCAGGCCGTGTCCGTCAAAGGTCCTCCAGGCAGAATATGAAAATCCTCATTTCGAGTCCAATACAGCCCGTTATCCGCTATCGCTCCCTTTCGTACAAGCCTGAGTGCCTTTTCTGCAATGATGGATTGTAGGTCGCTTTTGCCTTGTAATGCCATGATGTGAGTGTTATGGGTCAGGTCACGGAAAAGTGAGAGAGCTTCTCTGGGCCTCTCCTGCTCTCTTAACATATCCGCGAGCGACAGTCGTATCCAAAGAATCTCTCGATTCGAGGACGGTCGATGATTTGCTGCCACAGACAGTAAGTCTTGTAATTCAGATACGCCTTCATCCGTTTGCCCTTCGGCGTAAAGCAATAAGGCACGTAGATGGATCATCTGACAGCGCCTCTCGAACTGGTCTCGAAGAATGTCCAGAGATGATACGAGATTGACGTAGCCAAGCGCTTCATCCAGCCTTTTCATCTCTCGGTAAACATATGCGAGACTCAGAGCAACATCGAAGGTGACAAAGTGATCTAGCCCACAGCTTCTCTGACGGGCAGCGAACACCTCCCTATAAAACTTCTCTGCTTTCTCATATTGTCCCATCTTGCGGTAGGACCCTGCCAAAGCGCTCTGTGTCATGAGGGTTGCCGGGTTTTCGGGTCCGCTTAGATCCATCCATACCTGCAAAGTTTGTTCGTACAATTGATTTGCCTTGAGAACCTCGTGTTGCTACTCTAGGACATATCCTAGATAGAGCTGGTTGTATAAGTACTCCTTCAAAGTTGGGCCATCCGTAGTCAAGAGTCCGGCGGATGCCCGCTCGAGACAATTCCGAGCCTCCGCGAACCTGGCTAGGAAGTAATAAGCAACCCCCTCTCCACTCAAGCTGATGAGTGTGTCTCTATGACCCTCGCCGACGATCTTGCTCTGTAGCTTCCCGATATCTGCATGCTGCTTAGCCGCCTGTTTGAGATGGCCCTGCGCGAACGTGATAGTGGCCAGCGCGGAAAGTGCCCTCAGAGTGATAGGGTTTTCCTCTCCAAGTTCTTGTTTTGTCCCACTAGCCGTGTATGATAGGACGCATCAGTATCTCCTAACCAGCTGAAATAGTGGCCCAACCGTGAGTATAGAAGCCAAGCCCCTAGCCGCCACCCATCTGACTCGAACTCTTTTGCAGCAGAGACGTACGAGGTTGAAATGAATTCGTCTATTGGTATCTTTTCTCTCATCGACAATGGCAGTAGGGTAAGCCAAGAACTCAAAATTGATCGAACCTCGACGGTAGGCCCCGAATCAATACTGCCTAGGAGAACGAATATCGTCTCATTCCATGTTACCAAGTGCTTACTCAACAAAAACTTCTTCGCTAGAGACAGCGTGTGTTGAGACGGATTAGGGGTTGCGGTGAGGTGAAGGTGCCAATTCAGACAGGAGTACTCGTAGAACCCCTTCGTCTCGGATTGAACATGGTCTAAATCCGGCTTATCCTTGATGGACAGATTTTTCCTCAAAAGTGTCACAATGGCTTCCAGCGATGCAAATTCTAGCAGTATGAGCTGGGACAGACACTTCCTAGCGAAGTAATCGTCCGTCTCGAAGAGGTCAAAACGGACAGGAGCGTACAATGGAGATGAAGACGGAATAGTCGTAACAGGTCGGAGTAGATAGTCCCTCACCGAAGCGTGTATCAACCGGACGCGCCTGCCCACGACCACCACCAGTGGTGAACAGAGACGCAACATATCATTTTCGGGGTCCAGAAGTTTATTGCCCTCATCAAGAGTGGGCCGATAAGTATTCAGTGCAATGACGGTACTGATCTCCTCAATATTGAGCACTCGTCGGCTTCCAACGAAAAGCAAGAACAGTTCTCTGCGTAACTTGAGAAGAGTCTTATCATTACCCAGTGACTCTGTAGTCCGGTTGATGAAGTGATCGTAACCGGCAGTCAGACCAGGGGGAAATGTAGCGACACGGTTGTTCTGGATGTACTCAGTGGGAGTATCCTTGACCCAATCGATGATGAATCTCGCCCAGAGAAATATGCCGTCGGCCTTGCTCGCGATCTTCTCGAAAAGCCTTCCACTGATGGGGGCAAGTCGAGGGTTCCGATTGACCTCTGCCTCCACCAAGACCCGAATATCCGCGTCAACAATGTCTGCGTGCATTGGAATAGCGATTGGAGAGCCTAGCAAGGCGAGAAATTTAGCATTGAACCTTGACAGTATTATGATTCTTGCATTGGGCAGATTAGCCAGATCACGAAGACCATGCAGCAAATCCTCAAACTCGTCTCCCATACTGCACTCGTCGAGGCCATCAACAACCAAGGCGTAGTTCTGAATATGCGCTATGGCTGACTTCAAAATGTTCCAAAGAGGTTTGAAAGCGCACTCTCCACTGGTGTTGAAGCGGGATGCAAGGCCAGTGATCATTTCTAGGCCGTTCAATAGCGCGGGACTGCTATGCAGTGAGGGATTTCTGAATATACGAGCTAAGATCGAGCTCACTAATGTGGATGGGGTCGATGAGGCGCTAGATGTGGGTTTTTGGAAGAAGTGAGCGAAAATCCCACCTGGTACATCGCTAGGCGTAAATGCGTTGTTTATAACATAATTCGCTTGTACCGTCTTCCCGCATCCTGAATAGTAGTAAGTATAGTGACTCGTACATCTCTTCATGACGACTAACCTGGTATACCATGGATCCAGAGCGGAGAGGAATAGCCTGACGCTGTCCATTCAATGTAGCATGGATGCACAAGAAGCCACTCGCAGGTCTTGTCTTCCCACTTGACCAGAGGTGGACACACGCTGACACTTGGCTGCAGCCAGTCCAACGCAGCTGCTTTCCGTTCTTTGAGCCTGTCGCAAGGGGCTTTAAAATTTGCCTCAGCTTTTGCTATAGAGCCTGTGAAGGTTGTCAAAACTGTTCCGAAAATCAATCGGGCATCGTCGCGTGCGATAACTGTCGTGGGATCTGGTCCAGAGTTCCGGGATATCACGTCAGGATTGGAGTCTAATAAAGCCGCCGCAATCGGCTGATCCATTCCTGTGACAATGGGCAAGCTATGCTCTGATCTTGAAGCCATGCCGAGCGAACAAGCTGAAGTGGAGTTCACTAGCCAAGTCTTGAGTTTCTGTAGCTGCGATGCTTTTGTCGTCTGGCGAGCTTTGGCGGGACTAATTTCAGACAATCTGATTCTAACATATACAATGGATGCTATCAAACAAGAGGACGCAATACAGAGTGGAATTGTCAGAGAAAATAAATACGAAGGATGGTGGACCACGACAACTGCTCTGACACTCGCCGAGGAATGGGTCAGCATGTCGGCCAAGGCTCCTTTACACCCTTTATCTGCATATCTTTGGCAGTCAGAACGCCAGGTTATACAAGGTTGAAATCATGTGAACGACCTTCGAGCTCGTGTTACCGACCAAGTGGTAAGCCGCGGCCAGGTGGATGCATTCGTCGCCGAGCTGCGACACCGGATTGTCGGCCGTGGAGCAGCCTGACAGAAACATCAGAGCGCCCGTCCTTGTGTCACCGAAGCGCGCGGTCGCCTGGATGAGGTCTCGCACGGGAGACTAAGGACGAGGAGGTGTGCGGGTCAAAAAAGGGGAAATGAATCAACGATTGATGGCCACGTATTGCCATGGTGCTCCTCCATAAAATACCCAGTAACGAAAGGGTAGAGCACATTCAAATTCAGACTCATCAGAGTAAACTCCAGCAGCTTGACAGTCGAAACTGCCAATCAGCGCCAATGAAAACTATTTTCGACCACAAAAACAATCCCACAGGTCGTGATGTGGTTGCTGGCGTGATCCAAGGGCTTGAACAATGTATAGCGGGCTGCGTGTTCTCCTCACCCACGAAGGCGGATACTGTTGCCAGATAATGAGAACTTCGTGTTGACGGGCACCTTGACTTGCCGTTTCAGCCTAGCTTCTTTGGGGGCGTCGATGCCTTTTCTCCGAGTTCTGGCTCGCTTTCCTCGTCCGTGGAAGAGTCGTAGGGCTCCATCTCCTTCCTCTCCTGCCGACTGACATCTCCAGACTTTCCTTCATTTCCACTCTTTGACAGCGAGCTCCACCAGCTTGACCTGCCTGGCCGGTTGAAGTTGCTGGACTCCGGGCCTCCTGTGTTATCTTCGCGCTTCGCTCCTGTGCCGAACTGCCACCATTTCTTCGAGGCTCGTAATTTCTTTGCAGCATCTTTCGCATCTTGCTGCTCCACCTTGTGTATATGAAGCGCTCTACCACGGCGATAGTATCCTTGTCGTTTGTTTTCTGCGCAGCCTTCAGCGGCTCTTGCAAATAATCCTCCATCCCAACTTGTCTCCTCCTGGCATGGTCTTCGGCTAAGAGTACCTCGACTGCGTCCGCACGCTTGTGATCAATTGCCATAAGCAGCGGGGATATCAGAAACCGAGTCTTCGGGATCATTTTCTTGATGACATCTATCGGCTGATTGTATTCGATGGCGGGGCACAATTCGGCTCCGCCATGGACGAGGTATCCGCCATCGTTCATGGATATTGCTCCGTGATCCAGAAGAAAGTGAATGAAGGGTCCATTCTCCGGCCCCTGTGCAATAGCCAAGCTCATCATAGACGTCCTGTGGTCATCGAATGAGTAGCTGACAATTCGAGGGTAGTAGGAGTGGATTAACTTGAGCATGTCAACGTTTCGCGTTGCCCCCAGCGCCCTGACGATGCAAGGATTATGAAAGTCGTATGTCGGATACATTGAGTGCAGCCATCGGACGATTGACTGTTGCCCATGAGAAATGGCTGCCTTAAATAGCAGATCAGTCGCGGGTGCGCCTTCTTGTTTTGCTTGGTAAGAAGAAATAGGCTCGGATCCTTCCTTGACATGGTGTTCGTCGAACAAGTTATTTAGCTCAAAGATCTGACCAGCCTTGCATGCTTCGATCATCGCTTCCTGGTGAGGAGAAAGTGTCTCCCATGGCTTCGGCTGAGGTGCGAGAGAAGGTTGAGCCATCTTGGGAAGAGTAGTTAGCCTCGACAACTCTCGACATAAAGCTGAACTACGAAGATGTCTTTCTTTGAGCTAGGAAACCTATTGTCACGGCCAGAAGCAGTCACTCGGCCACATGGCCTAACATACTCACTGGATGCGACCCGGCGCTTAGAAGCTCGGTTTCAACAGGCACCGGCCATGTGGCCAGTCGAGCGTCTGCAAGCGCGTGATCTGAAACCATTCTTGAAGTCGGAGCGAAATCAGTCTCTGTTAGATTCTGTATCAATCAGACACCCATTCGCGGCTCAATGCCGAGTGTTGCATCAAACGTATTTATCACACCAGTTTAAATGACAGCTAATTTCAAAAGACGATCTACCTTCGATTCGTCGTGAAGAGCAATGGCCTCCAGAATTATCGGGAGTCAGATCGTGAGCGCCTATTTCGCCCTAAGTTATTCTAGGATAGGTCGAGCTTAGGTAGCGCCTTCAGGGGCTTTGGTTAAGCAACACCTTGAAGCAGCCAGAACAGAGCCGTTATTTAAATCAGCGGGGTAAATACATTCGGTTCACACCCCTCGGACAGCATGACGGGCTCGCAGCACCGACCTCTTTCGCGAGATTCACCCTTGCTTGTTTTCTTGTCTACAGTCCCACCTGCTTCAGAACAACTCGACTGCCCCGCGATGCAGTGATCAAGTCTGCAGCTCTGACCGCACAAAAGGGATCCGAACAGACGAGTTCCTGTTCCAATCAAACTTATATCACGTTGGTGAAGCGCGATAGACGCCCTCTATCGCGAATATACGGCAGATTGAGCAATACTTTCGCCGGTCATATCCGAGATCGTCCAGAACCTGTTGCGCAGAAAGGTCTTCTCTGCAACACTGCGGCATTTGCAGGTGTTTTGCGGCGGGACTCTTGGTCGATAATGTGACAGGAAATCTGGAAAAGAGGGCAGCATTCTGAGCGATATTGGAATCGAGGCTCACTTGGGGAGGCGAATACTGTTCTGGATGATGGATTATTGTTTTGTTTGTATAGTACCAATAATGAGATCTCTCCGAACGAACGGTCCGCCGCTCAATCTCCTTTCTCCGTACAGCCTTGTCTAGCCCCAGATTTTTGCGTGGACAGCTTCGACGAGGCAATCAGCGTGAACACCGGTAGACCTGCTTCACGATAAGGTGGGGCGAGAAGCAAAAAGGCTTTGGCAAGGGAGCACCGAGAGACTGCGCTCACCTAGAGGGGACTATCACTTTCCTCCCTGCGGCTGTATACGATATATTATGTCATCTACTTGAACTCCGGGCAGCTGCGCGAAATCCAATGCTGACTTGTCACATTCACCAGAATCCGTGCCCAACGCGGGGTAGTCTCACATGTATTACAGCACTGCCGCCAATACAACGATCTGATAGAAAAGAGACTGAGGGAAGGGTCGAGCCAGGAATTACTGTTGCCCTGCTCAATGAGCACGTTATCGTCCAGCACGTTATTGCCCTCCGCCCTCTCTGATCACCGACATGGCTTGCTACTGGATTGACAACCAGGATGCTCTGCGATGTTTTTTAAACGAGATCGGCGGTATCGGTATCGGCAGTGATCTCCCATCGCTTTACATTGACGCGGAAGGTGACAAGCTGGGACGATTCGGGACGCTGGACCTTCTCCAAATCCTCGTTCTGCCACTACAGGAAACCTTATTGTCGACGTGTTCACTTTGAAACACGCGGCATTCAATATTTCGTTTCGAGGGATTTCCCTGAGAACTTTACTAGAGTCGTCGTCCATCCAGAAAATCTTTTTCGACGTCCGCAATGACGCAGACGCACTGTTTAGTCTTTACAATGTCCTCGTGGAAGGGGTGGTGGACCTGCAGATGATGGAGTATTTCCAGAATGGCCGATCGGGTCGAAATTTAGCTAGTCTGAGGAAGTGTGTGGAGCAGGACAGCGGACTACCATCTGAAGATATCCAAGATTGGCTGGAGGTAAAACTGTCGGTCCCTCGCTCATGGTTGGGCAATGCAAACCTACACGGTTCGCCCTTCCAGGGAAGACCTCTGCCGGCAGACCTCCTGATCTACGCTGCAGGAGGTGTCGAGTACCTGCCGGCGTTGTATAAAGCATATTCTCTCCGACTGACCGCGCAAGGCTGGCTGGCTCTCCGCGCAGAGACCGACAAAAGGCTAAGACGATCGAGAACTCCCGCTTATGATCCCCAGGCCAGCGGCAAGCAAAGGGGCAAGGGGCCTTATCGTATTGTCGACCTAGCAAGCAACAGCAACACGAAGACAAAAGCCCGCGTCAGATATGGAGGCCAGGGACACAGGAACGAGACATCTGCAGAGCCTCCAAAGGCTCACTTGCAATTGACAAGAGAAGAAGTCGACAACATTAGCAGCGCCATTGTCGCTTTGCAGAACCAAACATCGGTCCCTACCGAGAGATTGGACCAAGTACAGGTAGGCCGCACGCCTCTGCTGTCAATGGTAACCCGCTCACAAATAGCAGGAGCCTGAAAAGGCACTTCGTCATATGCCCATCGCTTTTGTGAGGGCAGGAGAGGTCAAAAGTCGACGCAAGGGGAAGAAACAGTCGTCATCGAACAGCTGGGGTGGCATTGGCTATCATGATGCCTTTCCGAACGATTTGGATTGGGCATTGTGTGACAAGGACTGCGGATGGTGTGGCCATTGTTATTCGGGCTACTAGATATCACCGCTGTATCTGCTCACCATCTAACAGAGTAGTTCAAGTGTTGCGAGCCGCTAGGAATATAGGAGTGGGGCGTAGGAGTTAGAGACGGAAACTAATGCTACCGCCTGATTCGCCGTCTACCTGTAGGTTGCGGATCTAATATAAGAAATAGCGCTAGAATCCTCCTATCCCGCGTATCTAATTGATATCGCTGTCGTTGTTCGTCTCCTGTTGACGGAACCTCGGACCCCCATTTTCAGATTCGAGATGAGATATGAATGTGGGTTATGTTCACCGGCCGCGACCGGGGATCGCAAGGTGCGAAGCCCTTGACAGCGCCCAGCCATTGGCCCTCGGCCGAGTCCATCGACCTCCGCCGGTCTGCGTCGGGCCAAGCCTTGCAAGTTGCCACTACTCCACGCTTGTGGAAGTCAGTCAAAATGCTTCTGGACAGCATTTCCAGCAGGCTTTGATTGTTCTACTTCATCCTGGACTGAAGTAGTATCTCAAGTCGATCAGCATGCCTCGAAATCACACGGTTACGGAAAGTGATCTCGAGAACGACGCTCCCGCGGGCGTGGCAGCCTCGAAGCGGTCTTGGCTTATCAAGTATTCGAGAGAAGACGTGCGCGCAAAGCACGGCGACATCCTTCTGTTGCTGTGTAGCTTCTTGTCCGGCTTGTGTGACAGTGGAACTTTCAATGCCTGGAGTTGTTTTGGGTGCATGCAGACCGGTTCGTCTTTTCCCTCAAAATTAGGCCGTTCTCCAAAGAAAGCATCCTAGAGATATTTCGAGGCTGATACTGGCTTGCAGGCAACACCATTTTTCTTGGACTCGCCGCAGCAGGACTCCCGGCCTCGAAGCCTTATGGCTGGCTCCGCTCACTGATAGCAATCTTGTCCTTCGTTACGGGCTGCTTCGTTTTCTCCGCGAGCCGGCATTATAGACCGAGGAGTCGAGGAATGCTGGCGATATCCTTCTTGGTGCAAGGACTCTGCCTGGGGATTGCTGCCGTACTTGTGCAGGCAAAGGCTGTACCAGGCGCTAACGAGGATTCCGAGTCAATGATGGTCCTTGTTCCCCTGGTCTTCCTTGGATTTCAGGCTGGAGGACAAGTCTGGACAAGTGACGTATTGGGTTTTAAGGAAATCCCAACAACGGTGCTGACTAGCGTCTATTTTGGGCTTGCCTCGGACGTAAAGTTGCTGCAGCGTTTCAAAAAGAATCTGCCCCGGAATCGACGGTTCTTTGCCGTAGGCGCCTTTTTACTAGGGGCTGTCTGCGGTGGTCGGCTGAGTAGAAGCCAAGGAGGTATCCCTGCAATATTTTTCGCTGCCAGCGGTCTGAAGTTTTGTATAGCCGGAATATGGATGTTTTGGCCAGCAGAAGAGTCTTTCGGATCCGTCGAATGAGCAGGCACGAACTGACTGCTGCGTGCGTTGAGGTACGTTAGCGCTATCGAAATATCGCTCAGTCAGGGAGGGTGTACTCCGAATACTCATTGCCCTCATCCATCATCCAACTTTCAAAGAAATCTTCGACAGCCGGAAGGGCAGGAAATGTCAGGTTATCATCGAGCCCGTCCATGTTGGGATACGGATATGTGTTGCTTTCTGAACGGTGGAGGGTTCCATGGATAGAAGTTGAACTTTGGGAACCGGGGCAAGTTCGTCCGTCTAATGGATGATCGGAAAACTGTTCTCGACTTTCTTTAGAAATGTTGCCTGGACCTAGGTCTGCTGTGGAGAAGGGCGCCAGAGAACCTGTTGGAATAAGGTGCTCGGTCTGTTTCGAGGACCTGCTATGTTTTTGGCCAAGCCTGGCATTCTCTACAGCAACGCTTATGGCGGCGGGGAGCTCATCTGTAGCTCGAGAGAAATGCTTGTAGACATCATCAATGACCTGTATGATGTCTTCCTGCAACTCGGAGCGCACACGTTCGCTGCATTCCACCAGGACAAGCACGCAGTAAGCGATGCAAATATAATGAAACTTTGGAAGTTCTTCCACAAAGGACGTCGACATGCTCAGAAATACACGGGCCATCGAAAGAGCGTGGTCCAGTATGTAGCTCTGAAAAGTGTCCAGAAGCATATCCCGATGGCCCGTGTCGGAATTCGAAATGATACCGGTTCTTTCACCGGTAGGCTTTTCCAAGCCTTCTTGCGCATTTGCGGCACGATGTCTTTCGAGTGTGTGCATTGCCAACACGAGATATGCAAATTCGCGACAGAACCGGAGGAATGTCGCATTAGGCAAATCTGGTAGAGGCAATAATATAAGCTGCTGTATTCAGCGCAATCAACCGGATACGAACCCAGTAGATGTGCCCATTTCTGCTCCCATGCCTCTAGGTCTTGAGATTTGCCGCCTCGATCAAGCAGCAACGAGGATCTGGGTTTTTGGCACAATACAGATAGGAGTAGTATTTCTGCGAGTGTTATCCTATCTTCGGTGGAAGCTTCGGGATGGTTCAGGATTGCCTGACAGTGTTGCAAATACTCTGATGGAATCGAAGTCGGTTTACCCGTTCCAACAGCAAATCTGCAATGGTCAGCTTATTGTTGGAGCTCAACGTATGATGTTTCAAGACCTGAGGTTGATAAGGCAAATGTTGTTCCACAAGGATAGATACTTCCTGTCTTTGCTTTGGTGTCTTCCCAATGTCAGATTGGCCAGTATTTGAGCAAAATCTATGCTTGATATAGCTTGCTTTGCACAAATTCCACTCAGAAGCCAGCTTTCAATGTACTCGAATGCAGGCTGTAAGGGGTTAGTCAGCGATATCAAGTCAAGACGTAAAAGACACACTCTTGGGGCAGCTTCGAACGTTGACATAATGAGCAAAGCGTATAGCTCTGGTACCGGCAAAGGGCTAGCGAGAACGACCTGGCCAAGCATGTCTCTAACTGCTTCATAAAGCTGCCTATGGTGGCGTGTGTTGATCAAATTGGGCTGGTCGCAGAAGCGCAGGCCATTGAGGCAGCACACGGCGTAGAGCAATGGTGAGCTCTGTCGAACAGGAGTCCCGGTCGTCATGTCTTCGTCTTGCGTGATTTGTAGGATATGGCCTAGGCGGCTCATAAAACTAGCATGGTCTGATCAGTCATTGCTGATACAGGAAAAGATGGGTTTGTACTTTGAGAGCAGTCTCTCTGTGACTTCTTGCGGCAAGATCTGCTGTGTAATGATATCGCGATCTGCTTCTTTGTACAGCCTACGCATGCTCGAGCGATATTGTCTGACCATCAAAATGGGGCCGGACTTGTTGAGGTTGTCCTGTACGCCTGTCAGAGGTGCACATTCGGGATCGTTTCTTGCTGGCTTGTGTGCATTCTGGCCGGAGGAGGAGCGGCTGAGCAGCTCGGATGGGTCTTTGAAGTGCTCTTGCAGGAAGCTCAAGATTGTTTCGACCGAATGTTTCGTTTCCGTCACCGATGACTCTAATCTAGCCAGCCTAACCGGGGTTCAGTTACGTCGGCTTCGGATGGCACCAGAACACGAGCAGAGTACCTGTCATGATCCTCTGATTTGTTGTTGTCGTTGGTGACTTCGGCCGTTGTCACGCGCTGACCTTCTTCTTCGAGTGAACAAGTGATCCTGGTATGGTTCAGAAGATTGAAGAAGACGAATGAAGCTGGTTCTGACCTCAATTTGTGACATCGGCGGCAGGCATTGAATCGCACATTATACTCGCAACGACTTTTGAGTCGCCGGCATGACGCGCAAGCAAGAATGCGACGGCGAGACTTTGAGGGGGGTTCCTCATGGATTGCAAATTGATCATTCATATCGCCATCAGAAACCACGTAATGGACCCTGGTCGGATCGTGGTGGGTGATGTATCAATGTACAATGGCTCTCTACGGCTGATGCTGTTACGAAGATGGAGAAAGTACGAAGCGGGCTTGCAGGTTAAGGTGCCAAGCGAGGACAAAAACCGAGGATCTGCCGCCACAATCTCAGCCTTCCGTCGCTGGGGCCCGACTTGTCGAAGGGGGAAATATATACCGGCTCTGAGAAGGAGTCTATTGCATCGCGAATTATTCAGCATAAATCACCTTCATACGGACATAAAGCGCATTGTTGGACAGCCTGAAACGACTATAAAATAAACACATCAACGCGCATAAAAAGAGATATTGGAATTCCTTTTTTTTTCTGTTCTCTGTGTCCTGTTCGATCTATTCTTGCCCCGTACAAGAAGGTCTCTCGTGTCTGTAGATATAGGCATCAATGGCGTGCGGCATGTCCCTCGCAGTGTAGAATAGAATTCCTTTCCACCAGAATCTGGTGCTGAATTACGACTGGCTCATTTCCCGAGTCTACGGCAAAAGTGGAGTTCGGGGAGAATGAGTCTGTGTCGGTCATTGGATGGAATGCCGAGAGATTTCCCTAACGGACTAGGAAGGTGGTACATTAGGCTACCCTCTTTGAATACTTCCCAGAACCAAGGCTAAGATTTCTCACCGCGGAAAAGGCCAGTATTGTCGCCATCTATGCTGCTGCCGTGCCTAGGTAAAAGAGCTGGGCCCGTAGTCGAGGCGGGTCTGCTTGTACACGGTCCAGTCACCCATTCACGGACGGATGATTCTCCTAAGAGCCGACGTTCAGAAGAGAAAAGCATGTCCATTATCGGCATCACGCCTCGTTAAAAGGCCTTAAGTCAACCGGTAGGAGTGGTCGAGCTGATATTCGTCTTGTGCTGAGCACTAGACCTCTGCAAAACCGCATTGAATCCGCCCGGTCCCGCCAAACTTCAGCTGCGAAACACACCGCCGCACAGAGAAGATGAAGATGGAAGGCCCAAGACCCAGTCGTCAATTGAGCGCCGCGACCTTCGACCGCACCGACATGGTCCCGTACCATGAAGGTCCCAACGTCCTTCCCCACGACTTCATGTTCCACAGAATATTCTACCTGGCGAACAACAACGGCGACACGACCGCCGTTTCGTGACCCTTACGGCAGCTACTGCAAAAGTTATCGCGAATTGTTGCTCGACGTCGTGCGCACCAGGAACCATATCCGGAACCACCTGGCGGCCGGGTCGCTGCAGATGCTGCGAGAGGAAGAGGAAGTCAGCATATTGATTGTGGCAAGGGGCTATGAGTTTACGGTGGTGTTCTTTGCAGTGTTGGGCCTGGACGCCATTGCAGTCCCACAAAGTACGTTCGACCTGACCTGGCGAGCGTGACATCCGACAGTAGCTGAACGACCTCCCCCTGTATAGGTCCACACGTCTCGTCCGAAGAATTGCTCCATGCGGCGGCAACAGCCCAGGCTCATGCCACCGTCTGTTCACCCGAGCACGTGAAGCTGGCAAGTGGCATCGCTGGGCGAACTCGAATGCGTAAAGGCTACCTCGCCATCAACTTGCACGGCTGCATCAATGACAATCCCTCCACACTGTCCGTCCAATCCATGCTCTTCAGCTCAAACAAACCCTTAGACCAAAGCAAGCCTGCCCTCATCATCTTCACCTCCGGGAGTACCGGTCCTTCCAAAGGAGTTGCGTACCGAAGATACAATCTGACCCTGGTCGCCTGTCAGCAGATCTGGAAGAACGGCGTCAAAGAGGGATTTACCGTCCTGCAGACGCTCCCCACCCACCACGGGACCGGTCTGATGCTCAACACGATCCCCACCGTCCTGGGTGGCGGCTGTATCGAATTCACGCATCCCAAGTTCGACGCCGCGACGACGTGGGAGCGAATCCGTCAAGGCGGCGTTACAAGTCTCTCCGCAGTGCCCACCATTTTCGTGCGACTGCTCAAGCACTGGGACGACGTTCTGGCCAAGAGCGACGACGCGGAGAGGAAAGGCTACCTGGATGCGCTCTGCGCCGTTGAGCAGTATCACTGTGGATCGGCGGCGTTGCCGGTGCGTGCGGCGATGAAGTGGAAGGCACTTACTGGGCGACACATTTTGGAGAGATACGGTGGGACCGAGTTTGGCAACCCGTTTTTGAATCTCAAGACGACGCCGTTTGTTCCGGCAAGTACCTCTCGTTTGCTCGAATGCTCAGAGACTCTGGCGCTGCCAGTGGAGCCTAATGCTGATCCCCACTGCCAGGGTTCGGTCGGCGTCAAGAATCCAGGGGTGGAAACATACCTCGAGCACGGCGATCACGGGGAGGTCTTTGTTCGATCGCCATTCATGTTCTCAAAGTGAGCAAAACCTTGACGGCTCCATTCTTATCACTGCTGAGGCTTCCGACCAGGTACATCAACGATGTCGACGGTACCAGAAACGCTCTCACGCAGGACGGTTACTTCAGAACCGGCGATGTGGCGGAGAAAGTCAACGATATATACTTTCTCAAAGGGCGCAAGTCGGTCGATAGTGAGTCCTCCTTCCTCCAGCAGGCGTGACAGGGATCTGAAACTGACGTGAGACGGGCAAAAGTCATCAAAAGCGGCGGGTACAAGATCTCAGCACTCGATATCGAGCGCGCCATCCTCGACCATCCCAAAGTCGAGGATGCCATTGTCGTGGGCGTCGTCGACGACGACATGGGTCAGCGCTTGGCCGCCGCAGTGGTCTTGAAAGAGGTGAGTCCGCTCGAACGGTGTCCAACCAACTTTTAGATCCTGTCCGCAACATCCATTCGTTCGGAAACTGACGGTCCAACATGATGAGTCTGCAGGGTCAAACCTCCCTCTCCTTGCCAGAACTCAGACACGACCTTAAGGATAAGCTCTCCTACTACAAGCTTCCCACGCTTTTGAGAGTTGTGCCGGCGTTGGAGCAGACGGCGAGTTTCAAGGTCCCCAAAGCGTTGTTGAAGAAGACGCTGTTTGGGGCCGATCATCCGGATATCCAGAGGCTGCCGGGAAAGGGGGAGGGGAAGGAGAATGCGAAAGCGAGGTTGTGAGAGGTAGGAGTGCAGGGGTGATATCAAGCGTAGCATAGATACATGGTCCTTGAAGTAAGGCGGAAGCTGAATTTCCTGTGTTCCTGCCGTGGCGCTCACTTCGATCCTCCTTATGCGCATAGCATCCTAGCCGTGGTTAGGAGCATTTGTCCTTGGGCTTTTGACGATCTAGTTTTGTCAAAGACCTTTCAACACTCACGGAGAAACAAAATGCCTTGGATATTGTTGGTCCCGTCTCGACAAGGGCTTGTCGTCGTACTTGCCAGGTGGGTTGGGACGAAAATCTTGGACCCAAGCCATCGCCTCGATCACGACTATTCGATAAGGCAAGAGAAAGACACTGATTGACGTCTCTGGAATGAAGCTACGTCTCATACTTATTTACTGCAACAAGATTCCTAACTCGAAGTGCACGCAAAGCGCGACTGGCACTGTCGATACCTAGTACGCCCTATTATTAACTCAAAAGGACAGTCAGATCACTTTTACTCAAGCATCCAATCTGGCGCGGGTTAACGCGAATCTGTTACCCCTCCTGCACCGGCCATCGACCCCGGCCATCGACTCAAGGTTCCTCACCCTCCCAGTCACCCACACTGATATCAGTACGTATAATAAAACCCTTCCAACCCTTCAATCATCTCCCCACCGCCTCGAGCGCGCTTCTTTGCGAAGTAGAACTTCGCATCCAACGCCAGGGTGATAATTACCATCATCCCGGTGGCGACCAAGCAGGCGATAGTATTTCGGTGCATCTTGGGAGCGGAAGACAACTGTGCCAATCTGTGATATCAGAAATTCGTTAGCGCCGTCGCTAGGCGTGGCTTTTCAGAACCGATGTACGATAAAATGCTCGGGTTGACGCGGAATTTCAAAGAAACAATAATGCGGGACAAGGTGGAAGCATTGAATTCGACGCGAGCAAAATTGCTAGCACTTACGATGCCGCCTACGCCACCTCCGCCGAGGAGAGTCGCAGAGCAGAACGCACGCTTCCATTGGCCGCGGATGTTGTTGGCTTGCCAGGTGAGCAATGCAGGGATGTTGGCGTTGGCCCCCATGGTGGTGAGGAAGACGCCAAAGTATCGGGCTCCGGTATTGGTGGAGAAGGCAAGCAGAGGAAGGCCTGTGAAGAGATAATCAAGGTAGTCAGAATCATCAATGCAATGCCAAAAAGTAATAGGGAGGGTAATCTATCTGGAAGAAGTTGATCGACCTTACCTGTAAGCATGAGAGCGAGGCCAATCAAAATCCAAGGTGACCGCAGATGATATCTGTCTCCAAGCCATGCGAAGGTCAACAGTAGGCATCCTGAAGCCAGGTAAGGTGGCGAGGAGAGACATTGAGATACTGCCACGTCGAAACCCATCCCGGAGTTCAAGATGATGGGGAGGAAATTCGCAGTGGCGTAGACGGGCACGCTGTTGAGCATGAAAAGGGCGGAGAACGCCCACACGTGGATGTCCAAGCCAGCTTGAAGGTATTTCTTAAGCTGGAATCTGGGGACGGGGTCAGAGATCGAATTATCAAGAGCATCGGGACTGAAAGGAGCACTCACTTTTGCGGAAGCACGTCATATCTGTCTTTCTGCACTCTGGCCACAATAAACCTGATCTCACGTTAATTCAGAAATCTGAAGGTGAAGCCCCTCCTGGATACCTCGGGGAAGTCAATGAGGAAAGGAAAGATCAGAATAGCCACAAGCGCCGTCACCGTCCCCTCAATGATAAAGATCCATCGCCATCCGGCAATACCGGGGAGGATTCCAGACGGTGCTGTTGGGTCCTCGGCCGTTGGACCATAGTGCTGGCCCCAATAGGCGGCTGGACGGGCACCATGGTTCTTGATTTGCGAGAGACCATAGCCTAGGATTCCAGCAAAAGCCTGGGCAAAGACGCCGACGCCGTAGAACCAGGAATATCTCCTCTGGAGCTCGTAGCGTGGATACCAGCAGCTGAGGAGATAAGCTGCTCCTACACCAAGGAGATAAGATCCAACAGTAAGTAGGATTTTCTTCTTTTGTAGGGTGGGGGATTAAAGACGATCTCACACGTACCCGGGAAAGAACCTGCCTCAAGTCCGCCCAAGATCAATCGAATGGGAATCAGCTCATACCAGAATTCCACAAACCCGGCACAGATCATTGCCAGTCCCCAGAGGAAAGTAATGGCAGGCAGGAAGATGCGAGGGCCAATCCTCCTCGTCGCCACGGTCGCTGGTGGCTGGAATAAGGCATATGTGATCAGAAAGACGAGAGCTATGAGCGGATATCGTTCGCCAGTGAGCCTGAGGTCGACAGCCATTCCGGCCACGGCAGCTGTGCCTAGATTGACGCGGTCAATCAACGCCACACAATACATCAGACCAAGAGGGAGGATCAAGCGCAAGTCAACGCGGCGGACGATCTTCTTCTGCTCGTCTGGAGTAAAGTAGTGGATGGCCTCGTCGAGGTCGGCTGACTTTGTTGGCACCATGAGACTGGTCTCTGGCTCTGCTGTTTCGACGAGGTCTTCGGTCGGACTGATTTTCTCGGGTGAAGACATTGCGATGCTTTGGTGACTGCGAGCCCGCTTGTGTTAAGACGGAAAGGAGAGAAGCTTCTGTGTCTAGATGTAGGCAGAGAAGCGGTTCATAGTAGGAGTGAGGGCCAAGTAGAAAGTCTGGCTCCTCTTCTACAGAGAGATTTGTTTGTCTTCTTAAGCAGCTGAGCTTTCGTCCACCTCCAGATTTACCGAATTGTGGGGGACAGCGGCTGGGCCTGGCTGTGGGGATGCGATTTCGGCAAGAGGTTTTCGCGATGGAGGTGGTGGCATAGTTCACAGGCGAAGGCCCAGACAGGAGAGAGATATCGAATGTCAAAGCAAAGCCGAGTGATGTGGTCCAGCTCCTTCAGATGAGGTTCAGACGTACCGATGACGGTGCGGAAAGCATTCATCAGCCCGAGGCAGCTCACCGTGATTGGTCGAAACTCCGAGGTATTCAGAACCCACCCTTAACTCGCCTCACATCCATAGAGTTTGGAGTAGCAGTGTTGGCAAGCTGGGACTAGTCTAGATGTTCTCGTAGTCATCTAATGCAAATACTTCGTCGGGGCCTCCTGTCGTGCATTGCTGGTACTCGTTACATGCTGTGAAGATTGAGGCGTTTCGGTCTTGGTGTTGCTCTGTGACAACGCGTCGAGCTAGGCTTCGTAGCTAATCCTCGGAGCAGTACTCAGTATATTGCACTTGAACTATTGTGGCAGGCGAGGCTGGTCACTTGACTTCTCCAAGTGCGAATGACTGAACCTGGAGCTTTACAATCTGGGAAACTGCGTCAGTTTTCCATACATCGGAAGGATCGCCGCTGTAGTTGGGCGAATTCCAAACCCGCTGTCCTCGGGTGTCAGCCGCTATGCTCGACTGCTTGCAGGTCAGATTCTTATGAATCGAGCTCAGACAGGCATCGTTAAGCGCCATGAGGAAATCAGTGATTCCCTCCCACTGACCGGCCAAGTTCTCGAGCGCTCGGAAACAAATTGAAAGATTGTGCGCCGAGGTGGGATTGCTTTTGGTCGAATATTTGAGATTCGAGCTGTTAATAGCTAATGGTATGAAGACCATAATCACACTGAGGCACGGCTCATTAGCAGACTCTTCTTTCAGAGCCAGTCTAGCCTTAAATGTGGAATCGGACAGAGACGTACGGGCAGAAAGGTAGAAATCTGAAAAGGTCCTTGGCGAGCAAGCTCTCGATGGTTTTGATAGTATCGTTGGCGGAATCCTCTAGGGCATATCTTGAGGCGTCACGAAGTTTCGTGCTCCATGAGGTCGGAGCCGACCGCTCGACGCAAAGGCTGAGCGAGTGTAATGCAGAGAGGCAGTATCTGGTGAACCGTGTTAGTCAAGGTGCTGTTAGACGACGAATGGACTGTCCTCACCCAGGAATCACGTATGGGATTCACCTACTGGTAATTCAGTCTTAAATAATCCCGACTGACAATGAAGGAAGTGCTGGAACCTTCGAAATCATCCTCAATCAGCGTTTTGTACTGAACATACCATTCCGCCAGAGAGCTCTCTAGTTCTTCAATCTTTCCGATCACTTGCCCTCTCCGCATGTCAATAGTTCCTCTGGGTATGATGTGAGCGAGTGTCTCCATCGCTTGAAGCAAATAGAAACGTGCAATGAACACTAGTGCTATTCGACTCTTCTCTTCGGAGCGGAGAAGCCACGAGAAACTCGTCTCTTCTTCAAGGTCCCTGGTATTCACTTCGAAAGCCTCAAATTGAAGGAGATCGTCCATCCCCGGCCGGAATGTGACGAGGATGGTTCCGCGTGCTCTGATCAAGAAGCACGCATATAACACTTTCCAGTGCGCTGAGTTGTTCTTTTCAGCCAAGGACTCAGGGACACTGGCGTCTGCAAAGTGCTGGTGTGCTCTCCGGAGCCACTTTTCACTCTCAAACATGCCGTCTGGGTATTTCCTCCGTAGGCTGAGGAGAAGGCATATCTGTAATTGACGAATGGGACTTGATTCGTAGCCTTGGTCGTAGAGTTCCTGCGGCAGGCGTTAACGAGACACAAGTATAGGTTCAAATACTGACTGTCGCTCTCCGGTAGAAGACATCACGCATCTCGAGTACAGTTGAGAAGCCTGCAGAGGAAGCCTCGTCTTTTGTAAGGTACTTTCGACGTCAGAACCCAAATAGGTGTGGGGGACCGAAAGCGCTCACCGCACTAGCAGTGAACATAATAGCATTGAGTAAAGCCAGACTTATTGGCTGCAGCCCATGTGTCCCGTTGTCACTTCGATGGATGAGGTGATATATCTCGTACTCACTGACAACAGGAGAAGAGGGATAGACATATAAGAAGTGGTAATGAAGGAGCTTTTCGACAAGACTCGGGATTGGCAAGGAGAGTAGTTCTTTGTCTACCTCTTCATTGCCTTGGCAGTGGTCAGCGATTGCAGACCGCGCTTGAACCCAGTGTAAAGGTTGTTCTTCGGTCGAGTGAGA